TTTTCAATGTATAAAAATCAACTATATTACACAGGATATTTTTTAAATAGTAAAAAAAGGGCTGGGGATTTAGCTCAGTGGTTCTACCGCTTGCCTCACAAGCACAAGGACCCGAATTCGATCCCCAGTACCAAAAAAATAAAATAGTAAAAAAAAAAATGAGTTTTTTTGGGGAAGCTAGAGATGTAGCTCAGTGGCACAGTACCTGCCTAGTATGCACAAGGCCCTAGGTTAGATGTTCAGTACCACCGGTGGGAACATCGGAACAGGCTGCCTTGGGAAGAGTGTGAGAGGGTGGTGGAATGGTGTCTCCCTCCAGGCTTGTGTGGACCAGGGGCTGAGGAAGGTGCTCAGCCTGGAGCCAGGAGCACCGGACACTTGGGAGACCCTGGCCTGAGGTGCTGTTCCTTGACCCCTTTTAGGTCAGGGCTTGTGCTGTGACACCTGGCTCATTCCTGCTTCTCTCCCTTTACCCCCACCCAGGCCTGAAGTTTGCCTCTAGTTTAGGTGAAGCTCAGCCCACTCATCCCCCTCCTTAAGGGACTTGGGATATGTGATCTTAAAATCTTAGTGTTATTAAGTCTAATTGCTCTGTGAGCTCGAGAAACATTTTTCTTTTTCTTTTCTTTCTTTCTTTTTTTTTTGTTTAGTTTTTTGAGACAAGGTCTTGCTGTGTAGTTCAGGCTGGCCTCAAACTCACAGCAATTCTCCTGCCTCACCCTCCCAAGTGCTGAGATTACAGGTGTGCACCTCAGTGCCCAGCAATAGAGAAACATTGTTCACCTCTCTGAGCCTGAGCTTTCTGTTGGAGAGATGACTGTCATCCCAGGGCTGGCTCATGCTGTCCAATGCCAGTGGGTGCTGGGGAAGTGGGTGCCACTGAGGGTGATAGTGTGGGCTGGTGGCATGGAGGTTCCAGTAGAACCTGACCCCTCTGTCCCTGCCCAGGACAAAGCTGGTACTGGAGAACCTGGAGGATGCCTGTGTCCTGACGGGGCCTGACGACCTACTGTGGGACAAACAGGCGTGCCCAGCCTATGTGGGACCCGAGATCCTCAGCTCTCAAGCATCCTACTCCGGCAAGCCAGCAGATGTCTGGAGCCTGGGCGTGGCGCTCTTCACCATGCTGGCTGGCCACTACCCCTTCCAGGGCTCAGAGCCTGCCCTGCTCTTTGGCAAGATCCGCCGTGGTGCCTTTGCCCTGCCTGCTGGCCTCTCAGCCCCTGCCCGCTGCCTGGTCCGCTGCCTCCTCCGGCGGGAGCCGGCCGAGAGGCTCATGGCCACAGGCATCCTACTGCACCCCTGGCTGCAGGGGGACCCACGCCCCACAGCCCTATCCCGATCCCACCTTGGGGATGCTGATCAGGTGGTCCCTGATGGGGCAGGGCTGGAGGAGGAGGGGGACAGCGGGGAGGTGTGTCTGTACAGCTAGGCCACTCTGCTAGACGCCCAGCTGCAAACAGTGGGTGAGGGTCTCCAAGCTTTCTCCTGCCTCTTTCTATTGAGCCCAATCTCAAGTGCCTTCTAGAAGGGAGGAGGCATGGGGAAGTGTGCTGCCTGCACATTTGTGTTCTTTTATACACATGTCAGTGCTTGTGTGCACACTCTGTGCCACCCTGTTCTAGGTGCTTGTATTGTAGCAGTGAGTAAAGGAGACATACTTTGCTCCAGAGCACATGCTCACCCCCATGGGCCATTCTACCCGGGCACACTCAGTACCAGGGTCACCCTCCACTTGTGCTGGTGCCAAGACCCTCTGGTCCACAGGACAGTCTCTGTCTCCAACAACCCAGCTGCCTTTGTGCCCTGCACCTAGCAGAGAAAGGGAAGCAAGGCTTCCAAAAGGTGCCCAGCCTTGCCCTGCAGCCAGGCCCACGATGCCTAGATGGGCTGGAAGAACAAGAATCCCACATGAGGCTGGTTCTCATCAGACTCAGCAAAGGCTTAGAATGAGGGTCCTGGCCCTTCCACCCACACTGGCCCTGATCGGAGCGCCAAAGTTGGGAGACAGGACCAGCAGGATCTGCCAGTCTTCTGAAGGCAATGCGAAGTCTCCATCCCTGTTTTGGGGACATTCAGTGTCCAGGACTGTAGTCAATACTATGTTTTTGGATGATGAGTATATAATATCATCTTGTGCCTAATAAAACAGAGTTAAATACTTTTATTTCTCCATAAGATTTCTTCTACCCTATCCTACCAACTCTTACCCTGCATCTTTTCCCTGCCTTCAAAAGTGGCCCCACAGCAAAGGCCATTCAATCTGAACCCCAGCTGAGTGGTTTGTGAGAACAGACTCCTTGCAGCCCCAGGATCTCCTGCACACTCTGTAGGCAGTGGGGTCTCAGTTGTGGGACTTTCTGAATCAAAATGGCTAAAGCAAGTGCTGGGAGTGCAGCTCAGGTTAAAGTGTCTAGCGTACATGAGGCCTGGGTTCAGCCCCCAGCACTGAAAAAAATAGTGACAGAAGCAGAAGAAAATGTATTTTACAGGAAGCAATGAATGGTGTGTACATCAGGGCTGGTAGCTCTCAGAGCTGTTGAGAAGGATACCAACTCTCCTGCCTCCTTCTGTCCTTTGCTCAGTTGTCCCTGGAGACAGCTGGCACAATGACCTCAGCAGTCCCATGTATCACCTTATAAGAAGAAGGAGAGTGCCATTATAGTACTCAAAAACTGCACTCTGCAGTCTGTTAAATCCTGGCTCCAAGTCGGGCATGGTAGTGCATGGCTGTAATCCTAGCACTCTAGGAGTCTGAGGCAGGAGGACCAAAAGTTTGAGTTCAGACTGGGCAATTTAGTGATTTAGACGCTGTTTCAAAATAAAAAGGGCTGGTGATGTTCAGTCTTCAGTACTGCATACACACACGAGCACACACAAAATCCTGGCTCCAGCACGTACTTGCTGATTGATACTCAGCAAGTTTCTTAGCTGCTATGTGCCCTCAGGTTCTGCTTCTATAAAGTTAAGTAATAGTACCTATCTCATGAGACTTGGATGAGTTGTTTGATGTAAAGCATTCAGAACGAGGTGCACCCCTCTGTCAGGTGGTCATGGGGTAACCACTCAGAGCTACAGGTGCAGCCGGGCAAGGGGTGCTGAGGCCTGGCTACTGGCAGTGGAGCGAGGCCCTCCAGTGAGTGGCGGGAGTGGGAGCCACTCAGGATGTTCAGTCATGATACAGGTGTGCGCACCTTTGCACGTCCAGATAGCAGTATCCTGCTACCTCAAACGCCGGCAGTATGTGGATTCAGATGGCCCTTTGAAGCAAGGCCTGCATCTGTCTCAGACTCCTGAGGAGATGGCTGTCAACCTCACAGTCCAGTCAGAATCTGGTTGTGCCAGCATAGTGTCTGCAGCCTCTTGCCAGGCAGAATCCCAGCAATACGAAGTACAGTTTGGACAACTGTGGAATTTTCTCACTGATTCTGCTTCCTAGTACAGCCATGAAGTTATGCCTCTCTTCTACCCACTGTTCGTCTACCTCCATCTCAGCCTGGTCGAGAGCAGCCCAGAGAGCACAGAGGAAAGTTTCTATAGCCACTTCCATGGAATGTTGCTGCAGAATCCAAGCCAGAAAGATGTTATTGAGCAGCTGAGGACCACCTAGACCATCCAAGACATCCTGTCCAATTTCAAGCTTTGTGCATTCCTAGATAACAAGTACGTGGTCCATCTCCAGGAAGACAGCTACAACTACCTAACCCACTACCTCCAAAGTGACAACAACATTGCCCTGTGCAAGGTCCTCACTTTACATATCCACCTGGATGTGCAGCCTGCCAAGAGAACTGAGTACCAGCTCTACTCCAGTGGTGGCTGCTCCTGAAGTGAGAGCAGTGGCCTAGAGCCCCCTGATGTGCCCAGCCCTATTCGGCAAAATGAGGCCATGCTGGAGGTCTTACAAGAGAGCATCAAATGCATCAAGGATGCCCCCACCACCACCACCACCTGCTTCTACGCCTTCTACAACACGGAGCAGCTGCTAAACACTGCAGAAATAGCAACCTGATTGCTGCTGGATTTGACATCTCCTGCATAAAACTCTGGAGTCTTCAGTCCAAGAAGGTGAAATCAGAGCCCCACCTTGTAGACACATCATGTATCCACTTGGCTTGTGATACTCTGGAGGAAGAGGAGGATGAGGAGGACAGCACAGGCATGGAGATGAAGATCCTGTGGGGACACTGTGGGCCAATGTACAGGACATATTTCCTTGAGGATGGCTCAGGGTTGCTCTTTTATTCTGAGAACATGTCCATCCGGTACTGGGATCTGGGGAGTTTCACCAACACTGTGCTATACCAAGGACATGCCTACCCCGTGTGGGACCTGGACATCAGCCGTATAGCCTGTACTTGGCCAATGGGTCCCACGACGGCACCACCAGGCTGTGGTCCTTCGGACACCTGGCAGATGTGGACTGTGTCAGATTCCACCCTAACTCTAACTACTTAGCCATAGGCTTGACCGACAAGACTGTCCAGCTATAGAGCACCCAGCAGGGGAACTCAGTGAGGCTCTTCACAGGCTACCATGACCCTGTTCTCTCTCTCCCAACAGGAAGTACTTGGCATCCGCTGGTGAGGACCAGTGGTTAAAACTGTGGGACCTGGCCTCCAGGACCCTTTTTAAAGAGCTGAAGGGCCTGGGATTTAGCTCAGTAGCGCCATGCCTGCCTTGCAAGCACAAAGTCCTGAGTTCAATCCACAGTACTGGACAAAAAAAAAAAAAAAAGAGCTGAGAGGCCACACAGACAGCATCACTAGCCTCACCTTCAGCCCTGACAGTGGCCTAGTGTCCTCTGCCTCCATGGACAACTCAGTGTGCATCTGGGAGCTCCGGAACACATGCTGTAGTGCACCTGCAGATGGCTCCTCAAGTGAGCTTGTGGAGTGTGAGCAGATGAACGGTGTCCTAAGCGTGCAGTTCATGGCCTGCAACCTGCTTCTTGTGAACCTGCTTCTTCTTCAGGATCACACAGGAGACTCAGGAACATTCATTCTTACCTTGGCTGGAATGGCCTGGGCTATGGTGAGAGGAACCTGGCCACAGCATGGATTTTTTTATTATTGTTGTTATGGTGATGATGATTATTGTAAAGAAGAGATCTAGCACTAGCAGAGGGGAACATCTCTGCTTTTATTATTCAGGTTTGACTTCTGGCACTGGCTCTGATACTTGAGATTCTGAGCTTCAGGGAATTCAGAGATTTTGGTGGCACTGTGTATCAGGAAAAAGGGAAGTCTTGGGTGCACACTGAGCACACCAAACAGCATGTTTATGGAAATTGGTGGGTGGATTGACTGAGAACACTGGGCTCTTGCAGTTATGGTGGGAAAGATTCTTTCTTGGCTGCACTTCTATCAATAATTCTCTTTCCTGAAAAGAAAGATTATGGTAGGAGGAGGTGCAGCTTAGTGGTAGTGCATTTGCCTAGCATGTGGGAGGCCCTGAGTTCAATGCCCAGTACCACCAAAAAGAAAAAAAAAGATTATGGTAAAGAATAATTTGGAGGACTGGGAATGTAGCTCAGCGGCATAGCATCTGCCTCGTAAGCACAAGTCCCTGAGTTCAATTCCTGATACCAAAAAGAAAAAGAAGAAGAATAAGAATTTGGAGTAAGTCACAAGATAGAATTAGTGTTAGATTTCGGAGTGACTGTTAATCAGAGGTTAGCTTTTCAGCTATCTCTCCTGCGGTGAGCACATTATGAGGTGAATCCTGAGTGTGCGTGCACATGTCAAACTGTGCCCTGAGGATAAAGCAAGTTCTAATGTATGGGGAAAGGATTAAATATTTCTGTTTTCCAAAAAGAGTTATTTTTGGAAAGGATTTTTTTTTTGGTATTGGGGATCGAACTCAGGACCTTGCACTTATGAGGCAGGTGGCGAAACCACTGAGCTAAATCCCCAGCCCTAAAAAGAGTTATTTTTAATTTTATTTTCTATTAAAATGTATTTAGTTAGAAAACAAAAAAAGAACAAGTAGTGCTTGGCATCATACATCAGCAAGAGCAGTCAGTTGTCCCCATAGCTCTTTCTTGGGCTGGGGGTCGTTTTCTAGGAAGAAGCATCCCTAATAGACTTTCCCACACATCCCATTAGCCACAACTGAGTCACATGCCCCTTCTGGTGCAATTATAGGCTAGGGAATTGTGCTCACACTGGGTGATCCTGCTCACCTTCTCCCCTTGTAGATGTAGCCACCACTCCATGTCGTTCCAATTTTAGTATACGTACTACTAAAGCAAGCACTCTATGTGGGTCCAAAAAGCAGCAAGAGAGGGTAAGTCCCAATATGTGAGTGGTGCTTGTGTCACATTTGCAAATGTCTGTCTTATTGGCCAAAACATGTCACATAGCCTCATCCAGTGGGCAGAAAAATAGTTTCTCTCTTGATGGTTTTGGTTTTTGTTTTTGAGGCAAGGTCTCACTATGAATTCCAGGCTGGCCTTGAACTTACTATATGGCCAGGCTAGCCTGGAATGCACAGTAATCCTTCTGCTTCAGCTTCCTGAGTGCTGGGATTATAGGCCTGTACCACCATGGTGACTTTATATATATATATTTATTTATTTATTTATTTATTTATTTTATTATTATTTTTTTAATGGTTTGGGCACGTCTCAGTTGTGGAGCATTTGCCTAGCATTCACGAGGCCTTGGGTTCCATCTCCAGCATCACAAAGTACACATATATATATTGAAATATATTTGATCAAATAAAATGATTACTGTGTACCTAAAACTGGCCCCACAGGTCACGTGCTCCTAGGAAAAGTGCTTGGTGCCTCTGTGCCTCCAGCTGTTCCCCTTCTCTCTTCCTAGCAAGGCCCTGCCCAGTCCTCAGGTTGGACCTGGAGACTCTCCTGACCTTTGGCAGAGTGGCTTACCCTGCCTTGTGCAGCTGCCAAAGTCTCCAGCAGAGGGTTTCCCATTGTGGTTTATTGGTTACTCCATCCCTCCCTGGGTGCTTGTTTCAAATGCAGGTCCCTAACCCTCCCCAGATCTGAGTCAGAACATTTGGGGACCTGCATCTTCACACTCAAGAGAATCTCTGTGTTAGGGAGACCTGTCACCTTGGGGACTCAAAGCTCATTTCTGATTCTGTGTGGAGTTTGACCCCAGGACATTGTGAAATGAGTAACCCATGTACCTGAGAAGCTGGCTGGGCTCCGAGGTGTGGGAGTACGTCCTTAGAGGCCCACACCAGCAGCCAGCTTCCTGGAGAAAGGCGTACAGCCTCACCCTCTCATCCTCTCACCTCTTAACCTGGCTTTCAGGTTTTTCACAGCGCTTAGCACCAGCAGGTAGGGCATCATATATCTGTGTTTGAGTGAGTTTCCCAGGGCCAGGGAATCCCAGAGTTTGTTGTTCCTATCTCCCCAGCTCCTATAACAGTGTCTGGTATACAGGAGTGCTCAATAAATGTTTGCAGAAAGATTGAATGAAAGAGGTTGCTGGGCAGAGCTTGTATGCCTAGTGCAAAGCCAGCACATTCATTAACGATGGTTAGTGGTTAGTGTATACTGAACTCACAGCACATGCCAGGTGTGATCTCACTTGCCATGTGGTCACTTGTCTCCAGCATGACCCCAGCAACCTCCCCAGGGAGTATTCATGCCCTTGTGCAGGAAGATCTGAACCCCCCCGAGCTGTGCTGACTAGCATAACTAATAGGATGAAAATGATAGTGTGTCTTTTAAGGCCAGGTCGTAAAGTATGTTATGGCCCTGCCTTGCGCTCCTGGACACCCTGTATTGGGGACAGTCAGCTCCCATGCTGTGAAGACAGCCCTGTAGAGCCCTATGTCCATGTGGCAAGGAGCTGAGGCATCCTGCAAATACCCCACACCCAGCGGGCATGTGAGCAAGGGGCAGCCCTCAGAAGAGGGCAAGCCAGATCCATGTCCTGACTGCAGCCTTGGGGAGACCCTGAGCCAGAGCTGCCTAGGAAGCTGCACGCCAGTTCCCAGCTCATGGAACTAGGTAAGATCATGTGTACTCATTGTTTTAGGCTGCTAATTTTGGGTAATTTGTTACATATCAGTCACTGATCATTTGTGCAGATCCTCACAGCAGTCTATGAGGGAGGGCCCATCATAGCCACCCTTGTACAGAGGAAGAACCAAGGCCAGAAAGGAGCCTCTTATTCAGGGTCTCTCACAGATGGTGACCTGTGGCACTGAACTGGAACCTAGGTTTGAATGAGTGACCACAGGGTCTACTCTCTGAGAGGAAGTATATCCAAGCTGAATGCCAGCTCAGCTCCTGAAGGACCAGAGAGGACAGGGGATTTAGCTCAGTGGCACCGCACCTGCCTTGCAAGCTCAAGGTCCTGAGTTTGATCCCCAGTACCAAAAAAAAACCCCCAAACAAACAAACAAAAAACCCCAGAAAAACCACATCTGCTTCAGTACAACTTGTGCTCATAGGACTTCCACCATAATGAACCTACAGGGTCTGCAAGGCCAAAGAAACAGACACATTCAGAGTTGGCATATCAATACTATCTGACACAGATAATAAAACAAAAATATTTACTGTTTAAATAAATAAAAAGCTGGATACCACTGTGAAAGTATAAGAAATTATATCCAGTGACAATAGTGCTGAAGATAACGTATCAGAATTTTTTTTTTTTTGTACCGGGGATCAAACTCAGGACCTTGCATTTGCAAGGCAGGCTTGATGCCACTGAGCTAAATCCCCAGACCCTTATCAGAACTTTTAAAATGAATAAATTCAATAACCAAAATTCAAAAGCTGTGGCCAGGCATGGTGGCAACATGCCTGTAATCCAAGCACTCTGGGAGGCTGAGGCAGGAAGATTACAAGCGTGAGCCCACTGTACAATTTAGCAACTTGTTTTGAAGTAAAAAATAAAAAAGCTCTGAGGATATAGCTCAGTGTGAAGTCCCTGGGTTCAGTCCTCAGTTCAGCAAAAACAAATAAACAAACAACCAAACAAAAACCAGACTGATAGCTTGTGTTTTAACAGCCATCATGAAAGGTAAAAGACAATTGAATGAATGCTTTTTTCAAAGGGCTGAAAAACCAGCAACATCCAGTAAAAGTGTCTACCAAGAATGAGGTCTCTCTGGTGCAACCACTATGGAAATCAGTATGGAGATTCCTTTAAAAACTAAAACTAGAGGTCCCATTTGACCCAGCTCTGTTCCTATTCTTGGTATCTTCCCGAAAGAATTAAGAGCATCATAGGGCTGGGGATTTAGCTCAATGGTGCCATGCCTGCTTTCAAGTGCAAGGTTCTGAGTTTGAACCTCAGTACCAAAAAAAAAAAAAAAAAGAAGCATCATTCATCATACCACAGTGATAATACGCACATCCATGTTTATAGTGGCACAGTTTGTAATAGCTAGATCTTGAAAACAGCCCAAATGCCCATCAACTGATGAATGGATAAAGATGTGGGTTTTTTTTTAATACAATGAAGTACTACTCTGCCATAGAAAAGGATAAGCTTGAGACATTTCTAGATAAATGGATAGACCTTGAGACCATTTTTTGGGGGTACTGGGGATCCAACTCTGGTCCTTGTGCAGCAGGCGACAGAACCACTGAGCTAAATCCCTGGCCTTGAGACCATATTCTTAAGTGAAATAAATCAGTCACAGGTTTAAATACTGTATTATTTCTCTAGTGTGAGAAACTGAAAATGTAAATGAGGATGAAAATGTATAAGATATTGGAAAATGAGAAGAAAAGGTTCAAACAAGAAGAGGAACAAGGGAGGGGAGAGGGAGAAAGGAAAGAAGGGACAAGGAAAAAAATGGAAACAGCTTTTGTAAAGAAGGAAAGGAAGAGAGGTTGAAAAAAGGGAATGGGAAAAAAAGCAAGATATATTATGTACAGGTACAAATTCCCTATGATGAATGTGATCATTATGTATATCTAAAATGTACCAAAAGAAAAAAAAAAAAAAAAAAGAATGAGGTCTTTGTGCTCTTTCGGAGGTGAAGCACCCTTGTAATACCAGCACTCTGGGAGGCTGAGACAGGAGAATCAAAAATTCATACCCAGCCTGGCTACATAGCGAGACTCTGTCTAAATGAATAGATAGTCTACATAAAGATCTTTTCAAACAAAAACTAAGAACATCTCACTGGAAGATTCTCCCCATGGAAAATTCAGAAACAGCAGTTCCCAAACTTAGCTGACTTATTCCAGCCTCTGGCTCGCCACGGGTGAGCCTAGAGTGAAGTGAGCTCTGGGGAGCTGGCCAGAGATGAAGGCTGAGGTTGGGAACAGCTGGCAGACTGCGGGGAAGACTCTGGCTTTTACTAGGAGTAAGACGGGAGTATTTCAGTGGCGGTGACATGGGTTTGATTCTATTTATTATGTAATTGTTGTACTGGGGATTGAACTCAGGGCCTCCTCATTGAGTTACGACTCCAGTCTTTTGTTTGAGACACAGTCTCACTGTAGCTCAGGCTAGGCTTTAATTTTAGACCTCCTGTCTCAGCCTCCCGGAGCGCAGCGATTTGAGACACACACTACCACGGCCAGCCTTGATTTACTTTGTAACACGACACTCTGGCAGCTCGGGAAATATGCAGTGGGGAAGAAGGTTGCAAAAGAGAAGCAAAGAGCCCAAAGAGGAGGCTGGACCCCAAAACGATGGATAACTGACGGAGGCGCAGCGGATGCGGCATGGACATGACAGTTGGGGAATCTGCTCTGCAGGGGGAGCTCACAAGATCTGTTGATCTTTGGGATCAGTGGGAGAAAAAGTGGGGCGGGAGGCTGGAGGATGCAAATGCCTCCCAGCCTTTGGCAGGAGAGTCCAAACTTCATCAATGGTAAAGAAATGGTGAAGGTGATCGCCTAGGAGGAGCCTCCGTTTTGCTTGAGGGCCGGTTTCCGGGCCTCTCAGGCCTGAAGTCAGACCTGCTCCGGTGGCCTTGGGCAGGTCCTAAATAGAGCCTTCGTTTCTTCCTCTGCAAACGAAGCCAAGGTCCAGGCCTGCCCATCGGTGCGCCGGGGCCTGGGATGAACTAGCGCAGACCCGGGTTGGCAGGGAAGATCTACATCCAGCGCCCCGGAAGGAAGCGGCGGGGTCCTGGCTGTAGCGCCTCCCCGCGCAGGAGTCCCGCAGCCCGCTCGCCCCGCCCCACATCTCCGCCCCTCGTCCCGCCCCACGCGGCTCCAGGCCCCGCCCCTTCTGGCTTACTCCCGCGGCCCGCCTCCTGCGCAGCGGCTGGTGAGCCGGGCCCGGGGAATCCGTGCTCTGTCCCGGGGACCGAGTCAGGTCGCCCAGGACAGAGGGACCGAGCGCCTAGGATCGCTGGGACCTCGCGGCGGGGCGGTGGCGCCAGGAGCAGTGTGGACGCTTGCCGCCGCCGCCAGGTGGGCCGCGCGGCGGGTCCCGGGCGAGAGGACAGTTTTCCGGCCCCTTTCCGGCCCACTTCCGGAGCCGTCACTTTCACTTTCTCTTCCGCCCAAGCAGTCTTCCCCCTGCTTCCGAACGACGGGGTCCTCCCGGGAGCGCTGGGTGTGGGGCTGACCTCCTGGACACAGCGAGCGCCCGGGGACAAGTGGCGGGGAGCTCCCGCCCGCCAGGTTTCCTATTTCGCCCACTGCTGGCTGGACCCGGCGTCCCCCGCGCTTTCACTGTCCCCGCGGGGCCCCGGCGCGTTCCCCAGGCCTGGCCGGGTCCCGGGATGTGGTGCTGCCTGACCGCCGCTTGGGACCCTGAGGCGCTGAGCGGGACTGAGCGACTGCCTCTCCTAGGTGACTGGAGTTAGCGCTTCCCGAGTCGCAGCCCCCTGGGGGATGGGCGCTGCTAGGCCAGATGGACGAGACGACCAAGAAAGGTGGGTGCCTACTGGAGCGGGTGGCCTTCGGGAAGGAGTGCCTCTGCGGACCCGGCCTCACCGGCCTTCCCGCCTCCCAGTTTCCTCCCCTGGGGCCCTGAGGCCTTGGGTCAGCTCCGAGCTGAGGTGGTTGGGACCCCTGCAGGACACGGGGCATTGAACACGGAGACCTCCTGGGCTGGTGAGACACACCCCGTGGACCCGAGTATCCCGGGACCCTGCCTTGTGGAGTGCAGTGATGCTGCTGCTGAGAGCCCTCTCAGCACCCACCTGTTCTTAGAACCAAGCCCAGCCCACCCCCTTGCTCACTGTCCAGGAGTCCCCGTCTTTGGTTCTGAACCAGCCATTTCTTGCCCCAGGCCTTATAAGGCTCTCACTCACGGCCATCTTGCACACTCTTCCGCACCAGTTTTGGTAGATCCAGCTGTACCACCTTCAGGCCTCAGCTTCAGTGCTCCCTTCACTGGGGATCCTCTGTCATCTCCTCATCGTGTTTATTCTTTTGCCAGCATGGACCACAATCTGACTTAACCACCTCTTGTCAAACTTGTTCCTTTCTGCCTCCTGGGTGACTTGGGACGGCTGGGAGGAGAGGGACCCTTGTTTATCGTAATCACTGTTGGATCCCAGTTCCTGGGGCAGTGAGTGGCACACAGTAAGGAGCTCAATAAATGCTTGTCAGATAAATGAATGGAAGTATGGGAGAGAGTAAGGAAAAAATGGAACCTGAAGAGACTAGGGTGGAGAGGAGCCGGGAGTATGAGAAGGCTTCCCTCCCAGAGAAAGAGACTTTTAAGTGGGGTGTGGAAGGATTTGTGGGTGTTCAAGGGAAGACTGGATGCAGTGTGCACGCACAAGAGATCACCTCCTCCCAGACCTCCTTGGCACCCAAATAGCACAGTGCTAACTGCTTCTCTCTGCGGCTTTCAGCAGAGGAGATGGCCCTGAGCCTCGCCCGGGCGGTGGTGGGCGGGGATGAGCAGGCAGCTGTGAAGTATGCCACCTGGCTGGCACAGCAGCGGGCATCCCTGAGTGTGCATCTGAAGCCAGAGGTCCCACGGACACGGGACATCAGGTAAGGGGTGTAGGGGTCTGGGACTTAAGGCTTTTTTTTTTTTTTTCGGGTACTGGGGATCGAAGTCAGAACCTTGTACTTGCCAGGCAGGCACAGTGCCACTGATCTACATCCCTGGCCCTACTTAAGGCTTTTCGTACCTTAGTGGGCAGTGGGCAGCCTGGTTTCTGTTTGTTTTGTTTTGTTTTTTGTCTTGATGTGTTTTTTGTGGTGCTGGGGATTGAACCTGGGTGTTCAGATGTGCTAGCAAGAGGTCTGCTCAGCTCCAAGGATAGTTTTTCATTTCTCCAACCTAGGGGATTGAACCTAGGACCTATCCCTTTTTAATTTGTTATCTAACTATATATCTATATATTTATCTATTTGAGACAAGGTCTTGCTGTGTAGTGCAGGTAGGTCTTGTACTTACTCTGTAGCCCAGGCTGGCCTTGAACTTGCAGCGATCCTCCTGCCTCACCCTTTGGAGTGCTGGGATTGTAGGTATGCACCACCACACCTGGCTCTCCTAGCCCTTTTTTTTTTAATTTTTATTTTATTTTATTTTATTTTTTGGTACTGGGGATCAAACTCGGGACCTTGCGCTTGTGAGGCAGGCGGTGGAACCACTGAGCTAAATCCCCAGCCCTTTTAATTTTTGTTTTGAGACAGAGACTTGCTAACTTGCCCAGGCTGGGCTCAAATTTGCCATCTTCCTGCTCCAGCCTCCCAAGTGCTAGGATTACACTTGTGCACCACCATGCTCAGCAACAATAGTTTGGGTTTTTTTTTGGTACCTGGCATCAAACTCAGGACCTCATGCTTGCCAGGCAGGCGCTGTGCCACTGAGCTACATCCTCAGCCCACAATAGTTATTCTTAATGACAAGTTTTGGCATCAGGAGCCTTAAGAGCTTCAAATCCTGTAGTTGTCCCCAGTCAACTGTAAGGAAGAGGGCAGGTTATTTCACCTCTCAGGGTTTATTTTCTCATTTTTAAAATGAGACAATTGGCCCGGGGTTTAGCTCAGTGGCACTGCGCCTGCCTTGAAAGCGCAAGGTCCTGAGTTTGATCTCTGGTAGCAAAAACAAATGTCAGCCTTCAAGGCCCTGGTACCATACCCAGCATCACCATACCAAACCAAAACATATACCCAAAGTTATGCATACTTTTGCTTCATTCCTGTGAACCAGATCTCATTCTCACAGCCACATGCAGGTTGAAGGGAGGCTGTGATACACAGCCAGGTCTCCAGCTCTAGATCTCAGGGCTTCTCTTAGCAAAGGAGAAAGGGAGATGGACAGTGTCAGCCTCTGCCGTGGAGGGTTCGTCTTAGTGCTGAAACACGCAGTGCCTGGCATGTGTGGATCACTCAATAAATGTTGATGTCTGTGCGTTTGTTTTTTAACTGCTTTTTAAATTGCTGCACTCTGAGGCAATAGTTGTTTATCTGATTTTCAGTTCTGGTGGATTGCATTTCATTTTTAAAAACAGTTTTATGGAAATAAAATTTACATCCATACAGCTCAGTCACTCAAAGTGCACATTGCAGTGGATTTTCATGTATCAGAATCATGCAGCCTTACAATCAATTTTAGACATTTTTATCATCCCATAAAGAAAACTCATAGCTGGGCATGGTGGTGCACACTTGTAATCCCAGTTCCCTAGGAGACTGAACCGAGAGGATCACAAATTTGAGCCCCATCTGGGCAACTACTAGTGACTTAGTGAGACCTTGTCTCAAAATGAATAAAAATTTTTAAAAGGGCTGGGGATGTAGCTCAGTGCAAAGGTCCTGGGTTCAATCCCCAGTCACACACACACAGAAAACCCACAGTCATCAGCAGACCTTTCCCGTCTTCTGCCTTCTCCCAAGTCCAGGCAGATCTGTCTCTTCTGGAAACTTCATGTGAGATCCTACAATACCTAAGTTTTTATGTCTAGCTTCTTTCACTTAGCACCATGTTTTCTAGATTTGTCCATTTTTGCATGTATCAGAACTTTTTCCTTTTTATTGCCATGTATAGGTAAGTTGCATTCACTTGATCCATTAGTCAGTTGGTGCCCATTTAGGGGGTTTGTACTTTTGGCCATGATGCATAATGTAGCTGAGGACATATGTGTCCCTGTGTTTTAGGAGCAGGCTGCTGGGCGATGGTGTTTTACCTCTGGAGGACCAGCCAGATTCTTCTTGGTGCTGGCCCATCCTGCCTTCTCGCCAGCAGTGTGTGGGCTCCAGCTTTTCTCCCCATTGTCTCTAACTAACACTTGTTGCTTGGCCTTTGATTGTAACCATTCTACTGAGTTGAAAGAAGTATCTCATTGTGAGTTTGGTTTGTATTTCTCTCAAGACTTGGTGACAAATGATGTTGAGCATCTTTTCAGGTGTTTATTGGCCATTTGCATCTTTTCTTTGGAGAACTGCCTATTCAGGTCTTTTGCCCATTTTAAAACTGGGTTTTCCTTTTTATTATTTAGCTGTTAGAGTGTTTTATTTTGTTTCATTTGAGGGTCTAGCTATACATTCCAAGCTGGCTTTGAACTCACAATCCTCCTGGCTCAGCCCCCACAGTCCTGGGATTATAGGCATGTGCCATTATGCCCAGCTTCATAGGAGTACTTTATATATTGTAGATAAAATGCCTTATCAGATAATGTAATTTGCAAAGGTGTTCTCTCTTCCTGTGTGTTCTTTTTACTTTATTAATAGTGTTCTTTGAAGCACTTTTTTTTTTTTTTAAAGTTTGATCTGTGTTTTCTCTTGTTTGTGCTTTTGGTCATATCTAAGAAATCATTGCTCCATCCAAGGTCATGAAGATTTACCCCTATATTTTTTTCTAAGAAATTTACAGTTTTAATTCTTTGTCCATTTTTAGTTAATTTTTGTATGTTGTGTAAATAGCGGTCCACTTTGTTCTTTTGCATGTGGCTCTCCAGTTGTTCTGCACCATTTGACAAGACTGTTCTTTCCCCCATTTACTCATCTTTAACACCCTCAGGGAATATTGACCATAAATATAAGGGGTTCTTTCTTTCTTTCTTTTTTTTTTTTTTTTGATACTGGGGATCGAACTCAGGTCCTTGCGCTTGTGAAGCAGGTGGCAGAAACACTGAGCTAAATCCCTGGCCTGCTTTCATTTTTTTGAGATAGGGTCTCTTTGTGTAGTTCACGCAGGCCTTGAACTCACTACGTAGCCCAGGCTGGCCTTGAACTTGCAGCAATCCTCCTGCCTTAGCCACCCAAGTGCTGGGATTAAAGACATGTGCTACCATGCCCTGAGAGGGTTTATTTCTGGCTGCTCATTGATTTTTATGTCTGTCCTTATGCTAGTTACATGGTTTTGAAAACTGTAGCTTTGAGTTGGGCTCACAAAACCAAAAGAGGGGCTGGGGATTTAGCTCAGTGTTTCTGCCACCTGCTTCACAAGCGCAAGGACCTGAGTTTAATCCCCAATACCAAAAAAAAAAAAAAAAAAAAGAAAGAAAACTGTAGCTTTGTAGGGGTTTTTGAAATCAGGAAGTGTGAGTCTACTTTGTTCTTTTCAAGATTATTTTGGCTATTTAGGATCCCTTGGTGGGAGGGAAAGAGTAGAGGAAAACAATTTGGGGCTGGGATGTAGCTCAGTGGTGCTGAGCCTGCCTGGCAAGCGAAAGGTCCTGAGTTTGATCCCCAGTACCAAAAAAAAAAAAAGAGGAGAGTATCCCTTGAATTTCTGTCAGATTATCCAGTTTTTTAAAATAATAAGCTGGGATTTTGGTAGGGATTGTGTTGATTCTATAGATCAGTTGGCCACTTCATTTTTTTTTTTTTTGATAGGATCTCACTGTATCCCAGGCTGAGTTTGAACTTGCTGTCTTCCTGCCTCAGCCTCCACAGTGCTAGGATTACAGGCATCTGGTACCATACCCAGCTTCTGGTAGACACTTTAAACAAAATGTTATCTATGTTTTTTTTGTGGTACTGGAACAACTCAGGACCTTGAGCTTGCCAGGCAGGCGTGGTGCCACTGAGCTAAATCCCCAGCCCTTTTTTTTTTTTTTTAAGGCAAGGTCTTGGTGTGTAATTCAGGCTGGCTTTGAACTCATGGAAATCCTGCTTCAGCCTCCCGAGTGCTAGGATTACAAGCATGTGCCACCACACCCAGCACATCTGGTCTTTCTTGAGTTTTATTTACAGTATCAGATCAGAGCAGAAATTCTCCCTGTTGACCTCAATTTAAACCCCTGAGTTAACTGGCACTGTCTTTTCCTTTGAAATACATACTGCTGCTCCCCGCTGGGTAAACAGTGTCGGCCAGAACCGCACTCCTCCAAGTGAGGTGTGTGGACCAGCAGCAAGGGTGGCATGTGGGTCCTCCCCCAGGCCTGTGTTCTGAGAGGCCCTAGCCACCAGGCCTCTCACCCATAGACTTGTTCCCCTAGCTTCCGGGCGTGGAGCTGATGCGTTCAAGCAGTCAGCTGAGTGTGAGCCCTAACCTGTTTTTGCCAGTTGAGCTTGTTATAGTAAAAACATAATTAGCTCTTACCTCAATCAATAAAACATGAGTGCTAAAGAGAATTATGTCAGTGAAAACTAAGGTAACTACTTTAAAAAGTCAAAGAAGACGCCAGGCATGATGGCACATGCCTGTAATCCCAGCACTCTGGGAGGCAGAGGCAGGAGGATCTTAAATTTGAACCTAGCCTAGGCAATTTAGTGACTTTAGTGTGATCCTATCTCAGAATTAAAAATAAAAAAGGGTTGATATGGCTCAGTGTGAAGGCCCTGGGTTTGATCCCCAGTACCTCCCCCAAAACAACAACAAAACCTCAAAAAACAGCAATGAGTCTCACACACACACAAATTTCTATTACTTTAGGGTGGGACAGTTGTAAAAAAAAAACTATAATGAAAATCCATAAAGATTCTGTACTCAGCACTTGAGAGTTTAAGTTCTTGCTCATTATTTTATTTATTTATTTATTTATTTATTGGGGTCTTTTTTTTTACCGCTGTTCCATGCCCCACATAATGTTTCCTTTGGAGTTCTCTTGTTTTATTTTGGCCCTTCCCATTCATGCTTTTGGTCTTCCAAAAGTGTTTGGGGATCCTTCAGAAAGTTGTTATCAGGCTGGGGGTGCAGTTGCCTAGCACACATGTGGTTCTGGGTTCCCTCTCCAGCACTACAAAATAAAATATCACTTTGGAATAATACTTTTTGGGTTTAAACCTTGCCTCAACATTTACTAGTTGCTCACTGGCAGAGTCTCTGTAACATGTTTATGTCTGTAGGAAAGGGATGGGCAGCACCTGTCTCTTGGGCTCGCGGCGAAAAAGTCTTGGCACAGGGTTGTAACAGCTGTTGGTGGTTTGGCTAAGGAGCTGGGCGAGAAGATAGGGGAGGCTGGAGAGGTATAGAGGGGCAGGGGCCAGACTGCAGGGTCCCTTGGTGCTGCACTGACTTTGGTGGAGTATGTGGCCCAGGGGAGGGGCTTAAGCAGTTATGGGGCAGAGCACGCAGTGGCCCCTTGTGTGCCTGTTTAAGTCCTTGTGCGGAAGCGAGTGCCTGCCGCAGCTAGGGGCCAGTGTCCTTGCCCTGCCCACTCTGTAGGCTGTGTGTGAGTGTGGAGGATGCCCATGTACAGACCGTCACCATCTGGCTCATGGTGCGCCCTGACATGACAGTGGCTTCCCTCAAGGACATGGTGAGTAAGGGCTGGGCCCTGGGGAGGCACCTGTGGGCTCTGCCTCCTCCCTCGACTCCGTCTCTCCCCGTCCACTCTCATCTGTCCACTCCCAGGTATTCCTGGACTATGGCTTCCCCCCGAGGCTGCAGCAGTGGGTGATTGGGCAGCGGCTGGCCCGAGACCAGGAGACACTGCACTCCCATGGGGTGCGGCGGAATGGGGACAGCGCCTACCTGTATCTGCTGTCAGCCCGAAACACCTCACTCAACCCACGGGAGGTTCAGCGCCAGCGCCAGCTTCGGATGCTGGAGGGTGAGGCCTCACAGCGGCTTTGGGTCAGGGACTCACCGAGGGCTGTCCTGAGGGGAGAGAGGACATAAGACACTGTGGAGGGAGCGTTGCAGGGTTCCATTTTCAGGATAACTGGCATGGGGAGAGGGCCCATGTGCACTCTGCTCTGGTGGTTACCAGCTGTGTAGAACTTGGGTGAGTTCATTCCTGTCCCTGCTCCTCAGTTTTCCAAATTTGTAAGTTATGCCGGGTGTGGTGGTGCACACCTATAATCCCAGATCCTGGGTGGCTGAGGCAGTAGGATCACTGTGAGTTCGAGGCCAGCCTGGGCTACATACTAAGGTCATGACCAACCTAGACTATATAATGAGACCCTATCTCAAAGATAAAATTTGTACATTGGGTGTGATGACAATTCTTTTTTTTTTTTGGTACTGGGGATCAAACCTGGGACCTTGTGCCTACAAGGCAGGCAGCGGAACCACTGAGCTAAATCCCTGGCTGTGATGATAATTCTAACATGTTTATTCTATGCTTTTTTAGTTTTTTGGTACCAGGGATCATACTCAGGACCTTGCGCTTGCAAGGCAGGCAGCGGCACCACTAAGCTAAATCCCTGGCCCTGTGCTTTTTAATTTTGTAATATTTCAGACCTCAGGAAAGTTGCAGAGCTGTGTGAAGAGTGTATCAAGCATTCACGTGACTTTAGTGTAGAGTCCTCAGCAATATTCTACCACTTTGTCATTTATCTTTATATAAAATTATTTTATTTTCAGAACAGTCTGAGAGTTTGCAAAATGATATCCTTCCCTCCTAAAACTTGGGTGTGGACTTCCTTAAAAAGAGAGATTTCTTGTATTATTGTGTATGACTCCATTTGAGGAAATTAACATTGCTGCAGTATAATCAATTTTTTATTTTGTTTTGGCGGTGTTGGGGATGAAACTGAGGCCTTGAACATGCTAGCCAAGTTCTTTACCACTGAGCTACATCCCTAGCCCTTTTAAAATTGTATATTGAGACAGGGTCTTGCTGGCCTTGAAATTGCTTCAGCCTCCCAAGCAGCTAGGGTTATAGGTATAGACCACCACAAGTACAATGATTCTTAATTAGGGTTTGCCAGTAGCCTCACCAGTGTCTCATGACAGAAGACACCATGTCTTTTAGCTGTCACATAGCAGCCCCTTCCTGCTTTGGGACTCCCCGAGTCTCTTGAATTTCTTGACTGGAAAACTTGTGGCTAGTTTCTTTGGTTGGCCAAGTATTTCTTCATGAGTGAATTTGGTCAGGGGCTGGATGGGCCTGCCTCAGAGCTGATGTGTTCCTCTCAGTGCTCAGGAGGCCTGGGTCAGGTTTTTTTTTGGGCGGGGGGCAGTACCAGAGATCAAACTCAGGACCTTGTGCTTTCGAGGCAGGCACCAGAACCACTGAGCTAAACTCCTGGCCCTGCTGGGTCAGGTTTTACACAGGAACATCTTGGCTAAGGTAGCGACGGGGCGCTGGGGGAGCCAGGGTGCCCACCTTACTGCATGCAGGAGGGGATAGAAGTGGGTCAGACTGGCTGGCTCAGGCTGTGGGGACAGTGAACAGCCTGGATTCCACCCTCCCTGCAGATCTGGGCTTCAAGGACCTCACACTCCAGCCACGGGGTCCCCTGGAGCCAGCTCCTTCCAACCCTGGGGTACCCCAGGAACTTGGAGGGGTACAACCCAATGGAGTGCCTGAGCCTCCACCGGTAAGTGCCTGCATGTGTGGCCTGGCCCACACCACCCTGCCTGGCCCAGCCCTGCCCACTTACAGGCCCTCTGCTGTAGGTGGGCTGGCAGTGCCCTGGGTGCACCTTCATCAACAAACCTACCCGGCCTGGCTGCGAGATGTGCTGCTGTTCACGGCCGGAGGCCTACCAGGTGCCTGCCTCATACCAGCCCGATGAGGAGGAGCGGGCACGTCTGGCCGGCGAACAGGAGGCGCTACGTCAGTACCAGCAGGTGGGTGCGGGTCTGGGACACCGGGACACACCTGTAAATGGGATGGGACAGGATGGGACCGGGAGGCTGGGCCAGGAGGGGAGCCACCTGCACACTGTGCACCTCTCTGCTTGCTGTCTCACTCTCATGACCACCCATGGCCTTGCACCTGATGGCCCTGAAATCCCTCCCTGGTTGTGATGCTCATCTGGGTGCTTCACATGCTCTGCCCCTCACCTTGACCACCCCCCCCCCCGTCCATAAGTGTCATGGGCTGAAGGCTGTAATCTCAACACCCTTGCTGTGACCTTGACCACACCTCTGCTGTGACCTCACTCTTGCCCACCTGCAACCTCACTGCTGTCTGCCCAACTATGGCCTCACCCTGGACCCCACTCTACCTAACACCCTCCTCCCCACCCTGCCTTCCTGTGACACTGGCTCCTTGCTGCTCCATGGGACGGTAACCGGGACATTCGCTGCCCCCTCCCGTAGTGACACAGCACAGCATACAGACACCCAACGCTGACCCCAAGTGTCACCCCCCACACCCTCTCATCACCACTTGCTTTCCTGGGCCCCAGTGTAGGCCCTGCCTGACCCACCCTGGTTCCTTCACAATCTTGCTCTGTACCTGGCTTTGCCCTCAACTCTGACCCGGCCTCACCTAGCGCCCCCCTGCCAACCTGCCTGCTTCTCAGCAGGCATGTGAGCCCTGCAATCCCTGCCTTGCCAAGTGACCCCCCCACCTCCCTCCTTGGCCTCGCCCCCACTCCCCACATAGACCCCCCAACTCGGACCACCTTGCCACAATAGGCCATCACCTGGTGTCTGGGCCCCTGACCACCTGGCCACACCTAGCCTGGCTGGGCCCCCTCCTGGCCTGACCCCAGACCCTGACCTACTGCTGGCCCCTACCCATGTGCCCAGCGGAAGCAGCAGCAGCAAGAGGGGAACTACCTGCAGCACGTGAAGCTGGAGCAGAGGAGCCTGGTGCTGAATACGGAGCCCGCCGAGTGCCCCGTGTGCTACTCGGTGCTGGCACCTGGTGAGGCGGTGGTGCTGCGGGAGTGTCTGCACACCTTCTGCAGGTGCGGCCCCACCCCACCCTGCAGCAGCCTTGTGCCCTCACACCTCACTGATGCCTGCAAAAGCCAGCGGGGCAGACTGTCTCCCTATTTGCTGATGAGAGGGAGTCACAGAAAGGCCAAGCAGTTTGCCCAAGATCACACAGTTCACGAGAAGTTTGGGCATGAACCCAGGCATTCAGGCTCCAGAGCTTCCACCCTTGCTCTCTACCCTTTAGCATGTGGAAGGGCCCTAGCCCTGCAGCCTGCTCCAACCCCATCCTCCTGGGGGAAAGTCTTCCTCCCAAACCCCCAGTCTCTTGTGCTGGCCTCTCTGCCCCTGGGTTGGGAAAATGCTCTCATTCACCACCACTGACCCTGAAGCCAGCTGACCTTCCGTGGGGAGGCAGGTTCATGGCTAAACACTCACTGGTGGATCCTGTAAATTCTGTGGGCTGCCAAATAACAGACTGAGCCCTGCGGTGAAGACTGTCCACTGTTCCTAACCAGGTTGCGCTGCAGCAGAGGCTAGCAGGTCTGGTGTGTTTGGAGAGACGAAGGAGGTCCCTTTGTGGCAGCAGGGGTGGGAGGGCTAGGGCCTTGGAGGATCTCAGAGGCTCTTGTGAGTGGGATTGATGGGTTCGGGCTTGTTCTGGATGGGGCGGGAGGCTCTGGCTGAGTGCTCTAGGGCCTGTGGGGGTGTGGAGCTCAAGGGGTTCTTGAAGGCCCCAGAGGGGCTGAAGGGGGCCTGGACCAGAGCAGCAGGGACCAGCAGGGCAGGCAGAGGTAGATCCCTTGGTGACAGGTTGTGGAGAGGCAGGGAGGGGGCCAGGCAAGCAAGGGCCTTGGGGTCCCTGTGGATGGGGACGTGGGCTGACCTTGCCCTCCCTCCCCAGGGAATGCCTCCAGGGCACCATCCGCAACAGCCAGGAGGCGGAGGTCTCCTGTCCCTTCATTGATGACACCTACTCGTGCCCGGGGAAGCTGCTGGAGAGGGAGATCCGGGCGGTAAGGAGAGGCGGGTGCTGGTTGGAGCATGGGATTCAGACTGAAAATGTCTGCCCGGCCCAGCAGCACAGGGTTTCAGGGAGTGGCTGAAACTTGAACTCCTTCCCAATGGAAAACAGCAGAGTTGGAGAAGAGTGGGGAGCACTGGATGTGTGGCTGCAAATCAGATGCTCAACCTCTGTCTCCTCACTCCCTCAGGGCCACAGTTACGGTTTCTGTCTTAGTGCTGCGAAGGCTGCAGTAGAGGATGTGTGTGAAGACGGTAGAGTAGCAGTAGTTTGACAGGTGGAAAGCCCTTTGCAGTTAGCTTTGGCTGTGTCACAAATCACCCATCGTGTAGTGGCTGAAAACAGCTCAGCTCAGGGATCTGAAAGTCAGTAATTCTTCTTTGGGCTTGGCCGGTGCATCTGGTCTCTTCTGGGCTTAGCAGTGGACCACCGTGATGGGTCCTGTGCTCTCCTCTGACATGGCTGGGTCCTCCTGCGTTGATCTACTCCAGGGCCAGCTCACTTGGTGATGCTCTCAGGGATCTGGGAGCCCCTGGGGCAGAGGTGATTTCCAAGTCTCTGACGCATTTGCTGCCACCTCCTTTGTCAAAGCAATTCACATGTTTAGGCCAGTGTCCTTGAGGGAGGGGACACGAACAGCAGTCTAGTGTGGGGCTACCCACACATGGCCACGTGTGCTGCTGGTGAATGACTAGGTACCTGCTGCCCTGACAGCTGGTGACTTGAGCAAGTTCTTATGCTTCTCTGAGTCTCCTTTTTCCCCATCTGTTACTCGGACTGGTGGGCTGGATTCACAGATTTAAACTGCTGGGAAATGGCTTTCCTGAAATTGGGCATTGTAGGTTTCCAGGCCAAAACACAGAGATGGGAGACGCCCCACAGACATAAACACAAACCCGTTTCTTCTCACTCTGGCCTCTCTCCTGTGATCCTGGTTAGAAGAGAGAGGGAGGCTGATGGACTTTTCTTCAGGTCTGTACGATTCTGGGCAGGGCAGCCCTGGGCAGCCAGGCCCCAGCACACCCCGTTATTCCATCTGTCCCAGCATATGGGCATCCCAAGGGTTTCCTGGGGAAGCCTGCCCTGCCCAGGGCCTTGTCATGGGGCCAGAGTTCAGATGGAGACTCACGGGCAAGACAGAGACCAGTAGAGCAGTGCAGTGGAGGCTGTTTTTTATAAAAAGAATAGCAATAAACGTGCGCAAATTACATAGATACAGACCAGAAACCAAAGAGAAACTCAACCACAATCCTGCCATCCCTACCCATCTGCATCTTGTGCTGTTTCCTTCAGTGTTTGGGGGCAGACATGATTTTCTAAACTGTCACCTTTGTTGATGTATAGTTTGCACATAATAAAATGTACCCACGTCAGCATGCAGTCAGATGAGTTTTGTCAGATGTTAACTCATGGCACCACCTAATCAGGGTCAGAACTTTTACCTCCTCAGAGCCTGCACGGCTACACTAGCTTTTGTTGCTTCATTACAAAATCTTTCTCAAACCATTCATTCATTCATTTTTGGTACCAGGAATTGAATTCAGGGCCTTGCACTTGCCAGGCAGGTGCTGCATGGCTGAGCTACATCCCCAGCCCTCTAAAAACCATTTTAAGTCAGTAGTATTACAACCTGTATATGCCTCTTCCCTTAGCAAGTCCAGTTTCTCAGTTTGTAAGTGACATTTCACGGAACATTGTGCTGTGCCTCTTATGCGCACAGTTTTGCAGGATAAATTTGTAGTGGTGGAATGAGTACCAAAGGCTCTGATGAGTTTGGAATGGTGGAAAAGTTACTGCTACATTGTTTTCTGAGTGTGATGTGTCAGGATCCTAGTTTAACCACATCATCTCTATCATAGGTTTTTTTTATCCAACTTTATTATTGTAAAATATATATGAAATTTAAATGAATATATGAATATATATATGAAATTTATATATGTGAATATATACGAAATTTACCATTCTAATAATTTTTAAGTGTACAGTTCTGTGGCGTGGAGTACACCTTCATTGTTGTGTAGCCACAATCAACATCCTTTTACACAGCTTTTTTTTTCTTTTTCTTTTTTTTTAAAGGTTTGCATTTTTTTGTTTTAGGGTTTTATTAATAAATTTTATTTTATTTTATTTTATCCCAAGTCTTCTCCCCTCCCTATGTACAAAAGCTTTGTTTTCATCTTTTCCTTCCATTTTCACTTTTTTTCTTGTCCCTTCCTTCCTTTCTCCCTCCTTCCTCCCTTGTTCCCCTTCCCATTTGAACACTATGGCAGAGTAGTACTCCAATATACAAAAAGCACTACATCTTCTTATCTACTTTTCAGTTGATGGGCATTTGGGCTGTTTCTAAGAGTTGGCTATTACACACCGTGCTACTGTAAACATGGGTATCCATATGTCAGTGTGGTCTGATGCTTTTAATTCTTTCAGGAAGATACCAAGAAGAGGTAGAGCTGGGTCAAATGGAACCTCTAGTTTTAGTTCTTTGAGAAATCTCCACACTGATTTCCACAATGGTTGCACCAGTCTACACTCCCACTAGCAGTGGAGAAGGGTTTCTTTTTCCCCACAGCACCATCAGCATTTTTTATTGATTGATTTCATGATAGCAGCCATTCTTTCTGGAGTGAGGTGGAATCTCAGTGCTGTTTTAATTTGCATCTCTTGAATGACCAGTGATGTTGAGTGCTTTTTCATATATTTATTTGCCATTTCTAATTTTTGAGAAATATCTGTTCATTTCAGATGACCATTTTTGCATTGGGTCTTTAAATTTTGGGTGGGTCTGATTTTTTTAGTTCTTTTTATATTCTAGATAATGGTCCTTTATCTGAATAACTGGTAAAAAAAATTTTCTCAATCTGGGGGTTGTCTCTTCACTCTGTTGGTTATTTCACTTGCTGTGCAAAAGCTTTTTAATAAGATAAGGTCCCAGTTGTTGATTCTTTGTAGTATTTCCCATGTGGTCTGGGTTTTGTTCATGAAGTCTTTGTCTACTCCTGTGTTCTCAAACGATCTACCTATTCTCTCTTCCAGAAGATTTAGTGTTTCTGTTTTAATATTTAGATCTTTCATCCATTTTGATTTTAGGTTAGTGGATGGTGAAATACATGGGCCTAGTTTCAATCTTTGGGATGTGGAAAATCAATTTTTCCAGTACCATTTATTAAGGAAGGTGTTTGGCTCCTTTGTCAAAGAGAAGGTGGTTGAGTATGTCTGGAGTTGTTTCTGGATCCTCTAGTCTGTTCCATTGATCCTCAGGTCTGTTCTTTTGCCAGTACCATGCTGTTTTTATCACTAGTTTTGTAGTATAATTTAAAGTCAGGGATTGTGATACCCTTGTTGCCTTTGTTGCCTAGAATTGCCTTTGCTATTCTAGGTCTCTTCTGGTTCCAAATGAATTTTAGGATTGTTTTTTCTAATACTGTGAGATATTCTGTTGGGATTTTGATTGGGATTTTGATTGGGATTGCATTGAATCTGTATAACAGTTTTGGAAGTATGGCCATTTTCACCATATTGGCTTTCCCTATCAAAGAACAGGGGATATCTTTCCAGTTTCTGATATCCTCTTCAATCTCCTTTTTCAGAGTACTATAGTTTTCAATGTAACGATCTTTTACTTCCTTCATTAGATTAATTCCTAGGTATTTCATTTTTTTGGATGCTATTGTGAAAGGGTTTGTTTCTCTAATTTCTCTCTCTGTGAATGTGTTATTCATGTACAGGAAGGCTATTGACTTTTGAGTGTTGACTTTGTATCCAGCTATGCCACTGAATTTGGTTATCAAATCTAAGTCTTTTAGTGGAGTTTTTGGGGTCTTCTATATAGAGTATCATGTCTTCCACAAATAATGATAATTTAACTGCTTCCTTTCCTATCCTTATTCCTTTTATTTCTTTCTCTTATTTAATTGCTGCGGCTAATGTTTCCAGAACTATATTGAACAAGAGTGGTGACAGTGGACGTCCTTGTCTTGTTCCTGATTTTAGAGTGAAAGCTTTCAGTTTTTGTCCATTTAATATGTTGGCTGTTGGTTTGTCATAGATAGCTTTATCAGATTGAGATAAAGACCATCCATTCAAATTTTCTGTAGGGTTTTTATCATGAATGGGTGTTGGACCCTGTCAAATGCATTTTCTGCATCTATTGAGAAGATCATATGATTTTTGTCTTTGGCTCTGTTAATATAATGTATTACATTTATTGATTTGTGTATGTTGAACCATCCCTGGGAGAAACGAACTTGGTCATGGTGTATAATCTTGATGATTTGCTGCTGTATCTTATTGAGGATATTTGCATCTATGTTCATTAAAGAGATTGGCCTGTAAGTCTCCTTTTTGGTTGGATCCTTCTCTCGTTTTGGAATCAGGGTGATGCTTGCTTCCAGGAATGAATTTGGGAGTATTGCTTCCCTTTTAATTTCAGTAAAGAGTTTGAAGAGTAGCAGCATTAGGTCTTTAAATTTCTTGTAGAATTCAGCAGTGCATCCATCAGGGACAGGGCTTTTCTTTGTTGGTAGATTATAAATTACATATTCAATTTCATTGGCTGATATGGGTTTATTTATAATTTCTATATCTTCTTGATTCAGTTGTTTTTTTTTTTTTTTGGTACCAGGGATTAAACTTGGGACCTTGTGCTTGTGAGGCAGGTGGCGGAACCACTGAGCTAAATCTCTGGCCCAGTTCAGTTTTGGTAATTCATATGTATGTAGGAATCTGTCCATTTCTTCTGTATTTTCCATCGTATTAGAATACAGGTTCTTGAAGTAGGTATTGATGATCTTCTGGATCTCTGCAAGATCTGTTGTGATTTCACCCTTTTCATTCCTAATTACATGGATTTGAGTCTTTTTTTTTTTTTATAAGATTGGCTAAGGGTTTGTCAATTTTATTTAATCTTTCAAAGAACCAGCTCTTCAATTTGTTGATTCTTTGTATTGTTTTCTTAGTCTCCATTGTATCAATTTCTGCTCTGATTTTTATATTTCCTTCCTCCTATGAGCTTTGGGCTTGACTTGGTTCTTTTTCTAGAAGCTTGAGGTTCAACATTAGATTGTTTATTTGAGCCTGCTCCTTCAGAGCTTTTTTTTTTTGTTACCAGGGATCGAACTCAGGACCTTGTGCTTGTGAGGCATGCATGGTGCCACTGAGCTAAATCCCCAGCCCCTTCAGAGATTTTTTTAACCACCCTTTGAATTCCATTTTATTTATTTATTTATTTATTTAGAATTCTGGTTTTAAATACTACCAGGGTCATAGCAAAGAGCCAGGGACTGGGGTTGGGCCAAGGATAGAACTCACGACCTTGTGCTTGTAAGGTAGGCACAGTGTCACTGAGCTAAATCCCCAGCCCCTTCAGAGTTTTTTTTTAACCATTCTTTAAATTCTATTTTATTTATTTATTTATTTACTTCTTTGCTTACTTATTTTGAATTCCAGTTTTAAACACTACCAGGGTCATAGCAAAGAGCCAGGGACTGGGATGGTGTTTAGGGCTGGGGGCTTCTGGGGAATATGTGGTGACAAGGGTGAAAGATGAGGTATTTGTTGTTTCTGAATCCTGAGCAACAAGGATCGGGGCTGTTTGCAGCTCCTGCCCCCCGAGGATTACCAGCGCTTTCTGGACCTGAGCGTCTCCATTGCAGAAAACCGCAGTGCTTTCAGCTACCACTGCAAGACCCCGGACTGCAAGGGCTGGTGCTTTTTTGAGGATGACGTCAATGAGTTCACCTGTCCCGTGTGTTTCCACATCAACTGCTTGCTTTGCAAGGTGGGGCCAGGGTCCCACCCAGCCTGGGCACTTCGTTCTGCCTGGGGCTCCCTGGTCCTCAGTGCTTGTTCCCAGGGAAGGGAGCTGTGGTATCAGCCTGAGGGTCATACTGAGGGCCACATATCAGTGGGCACCTAGCTTGGCCCTGAAGTAGCCTTGATGCCATAGAACAGGTCCCAGATTTGTCCCTGCCAGACTCAACCCTACACTGGCCTGGCCCAGTATTGAGCATTCATTCCAGCTCCAGACTGAGCCCTGGGCCTGCACTGAGCCCAACTCTGGCCCAGTCACAGGCTGAATCCTGGTTCCATACTGAATCCTGATCCCATCCAAATCCCTAAGCTGGCCTCACATCAAGGCTATACCCTGAACTGAGCCCTGTGCTTAGATCTTGAACCAAGCCTGTGTCATGGTTTCAACTCCTGCACTGAACTAAGTTCTGATCCCAAACCCAGACTGAGTCCTGTGTGATTCTTTTCCAGGCCTGGCCTTGCCCAAATGACCTCACGTTTCCCATGAAGGTGTGGGGTGGGCGCAGACCCAGTCTAAGTGAGCTCAATCCCTGAGCACTGGGCTGTGATGGGCAGAACAGAAGCAAGGAGAGGGGCCACAGCCTGGGGAGAGATGCTTAGGAATTAAATCAGATAAGTAGGTATCATCATGATCCTATCCTGGAGTTGGCTTCACCTCCCTGGTGTCCGGGTCCTATACATCCAGAGGCATTCAATCCTTGTGCTAATGGCTGCTCTGCCCCAACCCTCCCAGCTTCTCAGATCCCTGGGGAACCCTGTCACCCTGCAGGCCATCCACGAGCACATTAACTGCAAGGAGTATCAGGATGACCTGGCACTGCGGGCTCAGAATGACCTGGCTGCCCGGCAGACCACAGAGATGCTGCAGGTGAGGCAGGTTCAGGTCCAGGGCCTGGGGACTAAGCTGTGCGGGCTTTGGAGAAAGGACTGAATTTATGCATCCCTGGGTCTTACACCTCCCTCTGTCTGTACTCCGAGGACCCAGTGGCCTTAGGCCAGGTGGTCAGAGGCAGGGAGTAGGAAGAGGTCTGGGTGGAGGAGAGGCCCGGGAGGGCAACTGCATACCCCAGAGAACCGGTGGGCTGGGGGCCAAGAGCAGGGCAGGCTCCACACTGAGCACTGCCCGCCCCAGGTGATGCTGCAGCAGGGTGAGGCCATGCACTGCCCACGGTGCCGGATCGTGGTACAGAAGAAGGACGGCTGTGACTGGATCCGCTGCACTGTCTGCCACACTGAGATCTGCTGGGTCACCAAGGGCCCACGCTGGGGCCCCAGGGTGAGTCCTTCAGGAGCAGAGAGTTCAGGATGGTATGGGCTTTTCCTAGAGGGGGACTTGCAACACTGTTGCTAGGGGCCTAAATCCAGCCCCATACTTGTATAGTTCATAAGGTAGAAATTTGTATCTTTTTCCCCCAGGTACTGGGGAGCTTAGGGCCACCCTATCAATGAGCTACCTCTCCATCCCTTTTTATTTTTTAATTTTAAGACTGGGTCTCACTAAGTTGCCCAGGCTGGTCTTCAGTGTATGATCTTCCTGCTTCAGCCTCCTGATTAGCTGGGATTATACCCCTGTGCTATCATGCTAGTCTCAGTTTACATTTTTAAATGGTTTAAAAAGTATTGAAAGGGCTGCGAGAATAGCTCAGTGATAGGGGCTTAGTATGCATGAGGCCCTGGTTTCACCCCCTCATTGGAAAAAAAAGGATCAGAAGACCATAGTTATTTCAGGGAAAGTGAGAGCATACTTCAGTGTCCATAAATCCAGTTCCCTCCGGATTGTGCATGCTTGCTCACCCCCTGGCCTTGGCTGTGTGTGGGGCCTGCCAGAGAGAAAGGACAGCCACGACTCAGTCTGGAGTTGGAGGTGGCTCTGGCATACTGGTCACCTTGAAGCCTTGGTATTTTCCCTCTGTGAGATGGATATGACAGCAGTGCCTGTCTCCGGCATATTGTCAGAATGTAATGAAAAGGTGCGATAAGTGTTCATCAGAGGGCCTGTCCTGTGGTAATTACTCACAGACTGCAGCTGTCCTTATTTGGGGTGTGTTCCTAGAGCTGGGGGCTCATGTCACAGGCAGGTGGACTGGGAGACAGATAGGGGCAGCAGGAGTGGCTGTGCTGATGCATGACACAGTGCCAGCTCCGCCCCTGCCCAGGCCTGCAGGAGCCCAGAAGAGGTCTTCCTGACTGCCTCCCTCAGGTGGCCGAGGCCAAGGAGGCAGATCATGTTCAGAGGACCTGCAGAGCCCACAGCCCAGAGTGGCAGCACATGCTGACACAGTGATCTGTCCTCACCAGCCTGATGTCCTCTTCTCCTCCTCCCTTCCTCTAGGGCCCAGGGGACACCAGTGGGGGCTGCCGCTGCCGAGTGAATGGGATTCCTTGCCACCCAAGCTGTCAGAACTGCCACTAAGCTGAAGATGGCTGGGTTCTCTCACTGGCAACCCCCACCCCATTCATAGGCAGTAGTGGGCAGGGCTGGACTTGGGGCCCTGGCTTTGGTTTCTGACCTGGGAGACATCCCTGTGACTGGCCGAGGCTAAGGTCCCCCACTTTGCGGTGGCCTGCTTGTGCCACCACGTGTTCAGGGGCCCTGGCTGCAGTTGCCTAGTCACATCTGCCCCAGTGCCTTTGCCCTTCTCCCCAGGGGCTTGATGGCCAGACCTTTCTTCTATGTGGCTCTTACCTCTGCCAGCCTCTATCCTTAAACAGCTCTGCCCAGAGGCCTTGCTGGCCCAACCCTCTGCCGGCACCATGAGACAACACTCCTCCCAACCACACTCCCCGCTGGCCCCCAAGCACAGCAGCCTCACCACTTCCCCATTGGTTTCCAGGGTAACTTTACTCTGTCTTCACTGTCAGAGGCCTGGAGCCTCTTATTGCTGCTGTGGACCTGCTCAGAGGGAGACTGGGCTAGGTGAGAGCACAGTGCAATGGGTATGGTGCTGTGTCCCATCTCACCTGTGTAAGCAAATTAAAATGGTTTTCCAGGAAGGGCTGTGTGTGATGTCCTTGAGAGGGTGTGAATGTTGTGGGCTGGTACTGTCCACACAGATCCTGAGCTCTCTGGAATGGCATCAGGAAGGTGACCTGTTGGCCCTGGGACCACTGTACCGGATTTGGCCCCCTGTGCCCAGCATCAGGGGCAAGGTGCCTGTTGGGCAGTTGCTGCCCCATAGGCAGTGTGCAGTGCAGCTGGGGCTGCCATGAGAGACTGGTCAGAAAGTCACTGTTCCTTTGACCTCTCAGTGGGCACCAGGGCTGGGGGCAGAGATGATTCAGGAATAGATGAAGCTGCGGCAATTGAGGGGTGAAGTCTGCCCTCTATTGCAAGATGGCAAAGTACCACTCTGCTGGTTAAGAGACTAAAGAAGCACAGGCCTGGGATGCCTGTTCAGTGCTGCCCCACCTCCTGCAGAGACCTGGCATTTGATGCCCAGCACACAGTCTGCACTGCAATGTGATCATCCAAGCAGGGAGAGGTGCCTCTGCTGTTCAAGGCCTGCCCCAGGCTCTAGATGCCAGGGTGTGTGGTTTCGGGGACAGGCTTTTTCCAGCCCTTAGGCACTGGCCCCCTGTCCTTGGATGCCCGAACTCAAAACCTGACCCTAGGCACTGAGCAAAGACAGCAGAGAACATGTGGATAGAGTGAGTGCCTTTGTTGCCCCAAATTGGCACAAGCACCCTGCCACTACTGCCCACACATCTCCAGACCCCACAGCCCGCACTCTAGTCAGCTGTTTTTACACTGCCTGTGTCCCCTAAGCCTTGTGCATCATGTGAGGTTTTCTGACATCAACTAAGCATCTAGTAATTCAATTCCAAAACTACTTGAAGTCAGCAGCAGTCCCACAAGTTAAAGGGCTCAGTTCCAAAGACTGCTGTCCTTCAGGTGCCAGATGAGATGGGTGCCCAGGCTGCCCACACTTCTGTCTGGCCAAGAACAAATTCAGGGGCTCCCATGACTCCATCCCCTCAGGCTGTCACTTGCTGGAATGACAGTGGACTCAGGAAAATACTGGACTTAGGTTTACCAGTGTATTATGTGGGCTAAGAGCAGGAACAGCCCAATGGAAGAGGCAACAAGGCCTCACTAGCAGCTCATGGGATCTCATTCACGTTTTCACACAGCTCCATCTCCAGGGCTTCCACCCTAGGGGACAACCTCATCAGTTGGTCTTCTGGTGACCAGTTAGTCCCATCCTGAGGCTACCTAGGGGGTCCCACAGCAAGTCACCTCATTTGTATGTAGGTGGGATAAAAAGAGATCATTAAAAATAAGACACAGGGCTGGGGATTTAGCTTAGTGGTTCCGCCACCTGCCGCCTGTTGCAGGCGCAAAGACCCAAGTTCAATCCCCAGTACCAAAAAAAAAAAAAAATAGAAGACACTTCTGTTAGCTTCTCGTTTTTTTCAAGTGTTTTAGGAACACTTGGACCAAGTGTGTCAGGAACCTGAGACCAAGATTTCTTCTACACCACACATGCCTTTCAGTTCTCCAGTTATCAAACTTCTACTCATTCTTTACAGTCAACTGTCAACTCCAATGAAACTGCCCCTGAATTTGCCCTTCAAACTGCTCTTTAGTGCATCCTCTGTGAGCTGCTGGAGGCAGGGTGGTGTCTCTGGGATCCCTGTGTACTCCACAGTTGTAGCTTCTGATGGTGGGACACAAGGAAGCAAGTTATGGCGGCTCTGCCTCAGGCCTTTCATCTCTCCTCTGGGCCAGGGAAACATTAATGTCACCCCAGACACAATGGTTCCTGACTCCAGCAGGGACCCCTTGTAGGTGGAGGGGACAGGCACTGCAATACTGTGGCACACCCCTACCGCCCAGCAGCGGAGCTGTCATGAGGATGCTGGAAAACAGGGCAAGCACAGCCTTCAGTGCTGCTCCATGCAGGGAAACCTCAAGGAGGGGGAACTGCATTCAGAGCAGGCTCTGATTTGAGTTCCAAAACCAGATGCCAACCTGCAGAGCTGGGGCAGTCCAAGTCCTGCACATTCGTGTTGGGTAGCTGTGGTAGTGCCCACAGCAGCTGGAATGTGCAGGCACATGGAACAGTCTTCAGGTCACTCCCTGGTCTCCTGGTGCATGGCCCTGGGCATGGGGGGATATGGGGAGCATCAGGGCCAGAGCTTTAAGGCCTGAGTCCACTCCCAGTAACTGATGGGCACAGACAGAAGAGATGCGATTTGTAACCACTTATGGCTGTTTATTTCATATCAGGCTCTGTACAAAATATTTACACATATTTTTTACAGAATAAGTAAATCACCTGAAGGTAAATAGATGCTTTCTTTTCAGTGGCAGAGAATACTGGTGTGAGCAAAGCTACATGAATTTTCTTTTTGGGCCCCAACACAAGCAAACATCACTTGCTTTGGGGATCTAAGGAGTTGTGGCCCTAGGACCCTGGTCACACACAGTTTCCCTTCCCCTGCCATGATTCCTTCAGATTTACAAGCACACTCAAGTGCTTGTGGCCAGAGGAGCAGAAGCTGCATCCTTTGTAGAGACAAGAACAAACTTGCTGGGGGAAAAGATGGGACATCTGCCACCTTGTCACCTCTGGATCCTGGGAGAATTTTCTGTTGTCCTGATGAGTCTGCCACTGAGTTAATCCACCTAGGTTGCACTCCCCTCAGGTGGGGCTCCTGCTGTGGGTATTGCCTACTGTGAGCTTGTCTGAGTTTAAAGTGCTTAGTTTAACACTCGACACCTCTGTGGAGCACTGGCCACCCACCCTGACATGGGCACATGGGGCGTGGGGTGCAATCCTTCCAGCATGTCCACTTGGAGAAGTCGCCCACCGAGAGAGAACAGTGCCAGAAAGACCAGAAGGATGAAAGTACGTGGCTGCTTTATACTGTACTCCATTCTTTAAAGCAGCAAAAGGCACTATTTTCAAGCCAAAGTTAACATAAAACCAACCTGGCTTTGCTTACAGGAAAGCTGTCCCAGGCCTGAGACTTCCCCTTGCTCCCAAGCCCTGCAGGTCCTCAGAGAAGCCTGGGGCAAGACCAGCTGTTGCTGGCTCCTGCCACAATCTTCAGGCTGTGCTGTGTCCCTTTCTGGGGCCCAGAAGTTTCCACTGACATTTCCAACGAGGCAGAGAGACCAGCTGTTGAGACAAATCAAACCAAGACAATGACAAGGCAGAGTGGGGCCTAGCTGGGAGGAGAAGGGAGATTTGTGGTAAATGGGAAGGAAGGAAAGGCAGTGAGGAGGTGGGCACTTTGGAAGTGTGGGGCTGTTTATAAACAGCAACTCTGGCAAATGTGAAATGTTAAAAGAGCTGAGTAGAAAATAAACTTCAGGAGCTTAGCTGCTTATCCTGATGAGGACCATTCTTACATATTAGGTGTATATGATTCTAAAAATATTAATAAATGTCTTCTACAAATACTATCTCTTGTACAAGAGAATGGGGGTGGGGCACGGAAGGCAGAGAAACCAGTCCAGAAATACTCCTTTCTGCTGTACTGGAAATGCCCACCTGATTTCTAGGGTGAAGCTAGATAGGATTTATCCAGTAATCTAGTTCATGTCTGATTTCTGACCAGCTAATAGAGATGCCACTGAGAAGACCCATTCGGGTCCCAGGCTGGAATCCTCTGCCCTCTCAGTTTCATTCTGAGGCCCGACTTCTTTAGCAGTGGCCCCTTCCTTCCTGTGGGCACCCCAGAGAAGGGAGAAGCCTAGGCCCAGACGCCCTCAAACAGCTGGGAGCTAAAGAACCCACATCCTACAATAGGCAGGGAGGTGACAGAGCGGAGCTCCAGTGTGCCGAGTGCTGTGCCCAGGCCCTGGGCCCTGCAGTGTCAGCCAGCTCTGCTACTGCCCCCAAGCCAAGGCCAACACAGGCAGGAAAGGGTGTCAGAGACAGAACACCCTTAGATGAAAACCTTTTAATCAAGGAAATTCCTCCCTCTCAGTCCTTCCATGGAAGGGCAAGGACTGACTGTGAGCAGAAGTGGCCCCTGTGGGTGAATTCAGGGGAACAGCTGCAGCTGGAACTTCGGGGCCCACTCCAGGGCACTCTTCACCACTGCCAATGCAGCTGCTCCAAGTGCCACCGTCAGCCCCATCACTGCCAGTTTCACAAAGCGGTTGGTCCTTGGTTTGGTCAGGACATCCTTTGTTCGAGCCTCTGGGCGCAGAAGTCCCCGAAACCGCTGCCGAAGCACCATGTCCGGCCTCTGCTGGGCTGACGCCAGCTCAAAGTCTTTGAAGGTAGAGGCTGCCGTTCTGTGGGGAAGGAGGCAGAAGTAGCATGGTGTGAGAAAGAAGAGCTGGAGCAAGTGCCCCACTCAAGAGGCTGAGGGCAGGGCTGTCCACTCTCAAGAATTCTTCTCTAGAAAGACTCAGACTCTAAGGTCCCAGGAACCAGGGACAGGCCCTGTGTCCAAAAGACATGAACCTCCCCTCATGCTCCAGGCTCACACACCTTGGACCCACTCACCTCTCAGCCTGTTGCTGGGCAGCTGCCTCTCGTGTGAGCTCAGAAGGGGGAAACTGAACAAAGAGGTCCCCTGCCCTGCTGATCAGTGTCTCATAGGGCAGGTCCTGAGGGATCTGGGACAACAGGTGGTGGACCGAGGCCATGTCACAGTCACAGTCCAGGACTTCCTGCTCACGGTATAACACAATCTGTGGGAAATAAGACCTTGCATCAGATAGCAGACACCCAGACTCAGCCTCTTGTGGAGGACACAGAAGGGAGCCCAACTCATATCCATCCAGGGAGAAGCAAGGGACATACTCTCTGAGTTGTTCCCACTAGGCTGGCCTCTCCTGCTATGGGCAGACTTGTGCCCTGATGTGAAAGGCACATTTGTCTCCTCAAGTGTCCCTCAGAATCTTCAAAGAAAGGAAGGACATTCTTTTAGGAAAAGAGGGAGATTCCTGAGAGATTCTCAGAACTCCAGTACAGCATAGTTCAAAAACAGGAAAGAGGGATCTTGCTCCCTTTAAATATCTTCCTTCTGACTGCTGGGCATAAAGCCAGAGCTGCAGAAGGGACCTGTGAAGACCTTCCCAGGTCTCCACCTCCATGCCACTCAGGCCTTCTGATAACTGGAGCCCCCACTACTGCCACAGCCACCTCACTTTCCTGGCCTAGCACTGATCTCCTTTCCTAAATCTGGTGAGGGTGAGTGCCGTGCACTGTGCCACTGACTCCCTAACAATGTGTGCCATGTAGTGCAGTTCCAGGAGGTGTCAGCAGGAATGCTAGCTATTCATAATGTACACTGGCACTTTAAGGTTTGCAAGAGACTCACAGTAAAGAAATCTGTTTAAGCTGTGTGCAGTGTGTGGTGCATGCCTGTAATCCTAGCACTCGGGAGGCTGAGGCAGGAGGATCACTGAGAGTTTGAGGCCAGCTTGGGCTACATAGTGAGTCTAAAGCCAGCCTGAACTGCATAGCAAGATACTGTCTCAAAACAAAAAAAGGGGAGGGGAGGAAGGAAGGAAGAGAAATCTGTAACTAGCATTTTCCAACTTTTTTTTCCATGACATCCTCTTTAACACTGCACAGATGGTGCCAAGGGACACCAACCTTGGAAGTGCCATCTTCTGCATGTTTTTGTAACTACTAGATTCCCCTTCAAGACAAAGACCAAGCTGGAAGGGTGATGGTGAATCTAGCTGCTGGCTCACAGCCTGTACCTACCACAGCTGCAAAGTAAATGGGCATCAGCGGGTGACAGGCCAGGAAGAAGTCATATAACCGCACCACGTGCTTGAAGTCAGACAGGACATGCCCAAACCAGGTGATGAGCCAGCTGAGGGCAAAGATGGTCCCCACTTCAGCACTAGGGGTAACAGAAATCCAGATGTTAGGTATCCTTGGCAAGTTATCCCTTCCCCTTCTCTGGGCCTTTGGCCACAGTGCTGGGGGAGAAAGAAGCATTTGGGAACTAGCATCTTCTCACAAAATACAGGCTTTAAGCCAGGCATGGTGGTGCACACCTGTAATCCCAGCACTCATGAGGCAGGAAGATCACCGTGAGTTTGAGGCCAGATTGGGCTACATAGTGAGCTCAAGGCCAGCCTGAACTACAAAGCAAGACCCTATCTCAAATCCCACTCCCCAAAAAAGTCTCTGAAATGTGCTATGACACTAATATCAGAACAGTGTCCCAGCTGCCTTATCTCCTAATGCTCAAAAGATGTCAACTGTAGGAATAAGAGCTGTTCTCGGAGAAGTATACCAGGATGGCTTTCCTTCTGAGACACTTACCCTTGTGATGGCACAGGCACATTTTCTCAGGTGTAGAACACAATTAATTTTTCAGTTAACATGAGAGCCCAAACCATCTTGAAAGTTATTATCTAAATTAAAAAATCTATGGCACATGCAAAGAAATACTTCTCCTTGATACTTGGGGAAACCATCCACAGATGTCCTTGTCCTTGATGACCTCGTCCTCGATGGCCTTGTCCTCTTCTCTTCTCAATCCCTTAGGACTCTGTATTTCTCCTGGGCAAGAGCCTCAAAGTCTACGTTGGCAAGCTCATTTTAGCTATCTCTCCCCATCAGATATAAAGTCTTCAAGGCATGAGCTGTAACATCTTTGCAACCCCACAAGGGCACAATACCCAAAAAGTGTTCCAAGACTGCAGAGAACTCAACTACAGAGATCACAAGTGACTGGAAAGGACAACTTCGAAGAACTATGCACTAATCAGCAAAAGATGATGGTGAAACTGAGAGAACTCTTGAGGAAGGAATGAGCTAGGAGGGAGAGTATGGCACAGCCGTGTGTGCGTGTGTGTGTGTGTGTGTGTGTGTGTATGTGAATATAAATGCATACGTACCTCTGCATGAAGTCATGGAGTTCTGGATTCACCTGGTCAATGATGGGCATCAGGTAGTTTAATATGTGCTTGGTGTTGTCCATTGTGGAATCCATGAAATCCCTGGAGGGAGATAATTTGGTACGCTTGGTCAGATCAAATGCTTGATCAAGGCTGGGGGGCAGAGTGGGCTCAAACCACTGAAGAAACTGACTACAAGATGGGCCAAGGAGTTATCCTAAGGGGGCTGGAGGAATGATACCCATCCTCTTAGTTCCTCTACATAGGTACCTGAGGTGGTGGGTAGATAATTTTTCTACCAGGGATGTTGCCAGCTTCTCGCCTACCACCAGCAGAAATGTGACCACGATGTCATGGTAGCCCTGGTAGTAGTGCAACTGAGGGTTCCGCTCCAAGATGAGGAGGATGATGTCGATGAGCTCTTCCTGGAGCCCTTCCCTCTGTTCATCTGGCATGCCTGGGGAGAGGAGGGGAGAGATGCACTGGAACATGGTAGGCAGTGGCCTCGTGACAAAGAGGTTAGGAGGGTCAACAACAGATTTTTTGGAGGTGTCCAATGAAATAAATTAGGAACAAGTTGATAACAGCTGTCAGATCCACATACTGCTACCACCTCCTGGCACACAGCAAAGAACCACAAGCCATCAACCTGACAGCCTTAGGGGGAACCTAGAGACACCACTTTAACCAAGCTATCACTTAGCGTCACTGACCACAGGACTTGGGACAGCACGCACCTCCTGAAGTGACATGCTGACAAGAGCTCTGCAGCACAGCAGTGGAACTCCTATCAACAGTGCGTAAACCTGAATCCCCTATGAGGAAAACCAGACCAACCCAAAGTATGGGAAATATAACAAAATAAATGGCCTGTCAGAGTATACAAAGGAACTGTTCTAGATTTTAAAAGCCTAAAAAGATAAGAGGAATGGGAAATGCATAACTTTCTATTTCCTTTTTCTTTCTTTTTTTTAATTTTGGGTTTTTGAAACAGGGTCTTGCTATGTAGTTCAGGCTGGCCTTGAACTCACAGTGATCCTCCCGCCTTAGCCTCCTGAGTGCTGGGATCACAGGTGTGCATCACCACGCCCAGTCTATTTCCTTTTTCTATAATGGATATTATTAGGATAAATGGTGAAAGCTCAATAAAATCTGTGGGTCAGATAATGGTACTTTTGGCACATGGTGCATATCACCCACACTGGCTGCTTAATGTCTTATAGTGCTCCATGTATTGGCCAGCATGTTGGCCGGGAGATCTGAGGCAGCGACACAGCAGGAGCCACTGGAAGGGAAAGACAATAAGTCAGAGGTGGAAGAGCAGGAGGAACCTGAAGCGGCACACAGCAGCAAGAAGTGGGTAGTGCCAGGTATTGTGTACCTGGGTCACATCCCACTGCACTTCTGACCCCTGTACATTTGCAATCTCTTCAGTGTCTATGGTGAGGGTGGACATGTGTTCTTTCAGGCTGATGACAGGTTTGTGAGATGCAAGAAGGCAGCAGCGGCCTTGGGAGGAAAAAAGGGATCCAACTACAGCAAGGGCTACACCAAGGGCTGGGTGGAGTTCCAGGACAAGCACACAGCCAAGTGTGTGGCTGCGAGTCTGCACAACATGCCCATGGGTGCCTGCAGGTGCAGTCCCTTCCCCTATGACCTGTGAAACCTCAAGCATTTGCACTGTTTTACTTGGTCCCACCTCAATGAACACCTTGCCTTTGAGCACCAGGTACACAGGCAGTGCCTAAGAGCCTAGGCTGGCTTCGGAGTGTGAAGTGGGGATGTTTCCTTGATGCTAAAGGGGACCTTACCTGCCCAGACAGCCCTTGGACCTTTGCCCAGCATCCCACTGAGCAGGAGCTAAGAGTCCGGAAAGCAGCTCAGCCAGGAGGGCTTGAATGGGTTCGCCTGGCTACTGCACAGGATCAGGCCTGCTCCAACTGAGGGTTTCTTGCCAGGATCTTTGGAGCCCCATCACCATCAGAGAACATGGTGGGACCTTCAGTAGCCAAGGACTGCTGAGGGGCAGGAAGGCTCCTTCCATCTTCTGGCCTTGCCCTGCTTCCTGTCTACCTTATGCTAGAGTGAGACTGACTACCCAGGCAGACATTTTCTGTCTCTCAGACCAGGAGTCTTTGATGAGGACTGAGATATGGAAGTTTTGTGGGTCTCCCCTGTCCCTCTTGCCCAACTTCTATAAGTGCCTGGCTGAGGCACCTCATTCACACTAGTGTGATTATGACTGTTCCTGATCCCTGTTTCATTTGTTTGACTTTCAATTGTCTGCCTCTTGCCCAGTGGGGTCCTCTAAAAAATCCCACGACCTAGCCCCAGGTGTGGACTTTATTTCCAACTAGAGTGATAATGGCCCAGCATTCTTGTCCTGTTTACTGATACAGGTAAGGGCAGCAACAGCAGCATGTTTATTTAGAAAACATTAACATATATAGGAGATAATGGGTTGGGACTGAGTTGAGAACCTTTCTTCAAATACATTGATGGGAAATATAATACATTTTTTGTATGCTTTAAAAAAAGATAATGGTACTTTTCAATGCTGTCACTGATTTTGGTAACTGTACTATAGTTACATAAGGGCCTTATTTTTAGAACTATATCCTGAAATATTTTTGGCAAGGGTCGACATGTTTGCAATTTTAAGTGGCTCCAAAAAGATTGTATGTCTGTATGGAGGAAAAAAAGAGAGCAGTCAGCTAATAAAACACATGTGGGGAGGTCATGAGAAGCCGGACCCATGTGGAAGCTGCTACCTGTCACGGGACTGGCTCCAGGAGAACCATATAGACTTTTGACTGGTGTTGAGTATGTTGTTGGAAGGAAAAACTGTGCCATTTTAATTGACAATGATCAGTCCATCAGTCGAAATCATGCTGTGTTAACTGCTAACTTTTCTGTAACTAACTTGCAAACAGGTGAAATTCCTACTTTAATAGTCAAAAGATAATTCTAAGTATGGTACCTTTGTTAATGAGGAAAAAATGCAGAATAGCCCTTCTCGAACTTTGAAGACAGAGGACGGAGTTACCTTTGGAGTGTTTGAAAGTAAATTCAAAGTAGAATATGAGCCTTTGGCTTCATGCTCCTCTTGTTTAGATGTCTCTGGGAAAACTGCTTTAAGTCAAGCTATATTACAACTTGGAGAAGGGCTGGGGATTTAGCTCAGTGGTTTCACTGCCTGCTGTGCAACCCCAAGGACCCGAGTTCAATCCCTAGCACCAAAAAAACCCCCCAAAACAAAAAAAACCAACTTGGAAGACTTACAGTAAACAACTAGACAGAAGAATGTACTCGCCTTGTTATGGTATCAGTTAAAGTTACCATTAAAACAATATGTGCACTCATTTGGGAATGTCCGATTGTAAAGCCAGAATATTTTACTGAATTTGTTAAAGCAGTTCAGTCCAAGAAACAGCCTCCACAAATTGAAATTTTTGCCCACCTGTTGATGAACCAGCCATTGGAAGTAAAAATATTGATGTTAGGACGAAAGGAAAGAAAACAAATCTTCAAAGGGAAAACATTTGTATTTTTAAATGCCAAACAGCATAAGAAATTAAGTTCAGCAGTTGTTTTTGGAGGTGGAGAAGCTAGGTTGATAACCGAAGAAAATGAAGAAGATAGTTTTTTTTCAGCTCCTGGAACTTGTGTTGTTGACATAGGAATAACAAATACACAGATCTTAATTCCTGACTCCCAGAAAAAATGGATTCACTCAATTATGGATATACTCCAAAGGCAGGGTCTTAGACCTATTCCTGAAGCAGAAATTGGATTGGCAGTTATTCTCATGACTACAGAGAATTACTGTGATCCTCAGGGCTAGCCCAGCACAGGATTAAAGACAAAGACTCCAGGGCCAAGCCTTTCACAAGACTGGTCAGTCAGCGAAAAACTCATGTCAAGTGCTCCTGAGAACACTGCAACCTATGTAGCTGACACAGAATCGGACCAGGGACATACATGTATGTATTTGAGTGAAGGGCCAAAAGAAATAAAAATCTCCAAAATGGAACAAAAATATGGATCATCTTCACAAGAAATACCCATTATAAAAGAAGTCCCCAAAACAAGCTCCAATAATAACATAGCATCAAATACTCTGGTTAGGGCAAATATCCAAAAGTATCAGCTTGCACCTACTAAATTCCCAAGTGTAAATAAAAGTAGAGATTGTGCTTCTCAGCAACAGACAAATACCATTAGAAACTACTTTCAGCCATCTCCCAAAAAAAGGGAAAGGGATGAAGAAAACCAAGAAATGTCTTCTCCAAATCAGAAAGAATAGAAATGTTTTGTTCTCTTTTAGAACAAACACAACCTGCTATAACCTCACTACGGAAAAACAAAGAGCAAAATCTATCTCAGAATGAACCTATGGACACAAAATCAGAAAAGTTATTTACAGATGATGAAGATTTAAAATCCAGTGTGAAAAACTCTGACAATAAATCTGTTTCTACAGAAAGTCTAAGATCAAAAAAAAAGAAAAGAAATTGATTTGGCCATAGAAGATGAACTATTGGAGCAGTTATTCAAGAACACAAGACCAGAGATAGAAACTGAAGTGAAAGTTGAAAAACAAGAATATGTCAACATTAGAAAAAAGCCAAGATTGGATATAGAAACAAATAACAATTTTGATGATAAAACAATACCAGAAAGTGACAAAATACCTCAAGAAAGTGAAGTTGGGAAGAAATGTGAGCTCAAGAAAGAATCACTGTGGTCAACTAAAGAAATATCTAATAATGATGAACTTCAGGACAGCAGTGAGATGGTTCCAAAAAAGTTGTTAATGACTGAATTTAGATCAATGGGGGTTAATAACTCCACTTACAGAAATCTGTGTGGGATAAATAGTGATCATGGTCATCAACCAAAGAATTTCACGAAATTCCAAAAGGTCACCTTTCCTGGAGCAGGTAAACTTCTGCACATCATTGGAGGATCAGATCTAATAGCTCATCATGCTCAAAAGAATGCAGAATTAGAAGATTGGTTGAGACAGGAAATGGAGGTACAAAAGCAACAGGCAAAAGGAGAGCCTCTTGCTGATGATCTCTTTAGGTATAATCCTAAAATCCTAATGTGAAAAGGAGAAGATAATTGAGAACTTTAAAAAGAAATTAGGAGCCGTCGCCTGCCTCACAAGCGCAAGGTCCTGAGTTCGATCCCTGGAACCAAAAAAAAGGAAATTATGAAAACAAGCTTCCCAGCAAGCATTTACTTCAGGCCGAGATACATGAATACAGTGTATGGAAGAGATTTAAGTTTTTGTGGCCCAAATTTTTTAAATAAAATGCACAAAACTCTAAAAAAACCCAAAAAAACCACATGTGAAGGAAATTTAGGTAAAAGGTATCTGGGGAATTCTTTTTCCTATTTCTGCAATATTTTTTTCCTGTACCAGGAATTGAACTCAGGACCTTGCACTTGCCAGGTAGGTGTGGTGCCACTGAGCTATATCCCTGGCCCTATTTTTGCAACTTTTTGGAATAAAATTATAATTTTAAAATAAAAAAACTACATATTCCCCTCTAAACCAAACCAAATAGTCCTGGAAGCACTGATCTCCTCAACTCATAGGTGCAGCTGGAAGATGGCCCAGTCCAGCCCGGTCAGCATGGCTCCTCTGCTTTTCATTGTGAGAACTTGAACCTGCTCTTCCTAAGCTGACACTCAACAAGGCAAAGGCTGTGCTCAGCCTGAGTACCAAGCCCATGAACAATGGCACACGGCTGTCATGTTTGAGTCCTGCCTCTCCTGGGTACTTCTGCAGCTGGAAAAGAACTTGGACCTCAAGGCTCAGCTCAAGGGAGCTAAACACTGCAGCAGTCAAGGAAATTGAAGCTAGTGGCCGGAAAGCTATCACGATCTTTGTTCCAGTTCCCCTGTTGAAATATTCTCAGAAAATCCTATTTTGGCTAGTATGCAAACTGGAAAAAAAAGTTCAGTGGGAAGCATGTGGTCTTTATTGCTCAGAAGAGTTCTGCCTAAGCCAACTCAAAAAGCCACATAAAAAGCAGTGTCCTCGGAGTCACATGCTGACAGCTGTGCATGCCACAACCTCTGAGGACTTGGTCTTCCTCACTGACAATGTAAGCCAGAGACTCTGAGTAAGATCGGAGGGCAGCCTGCTCGGAAGGCTCCTGTGGTGTGGCACAGCAGAACAGGTGGAACACAAGGCTGAAGCTCTCTGCAGTTGCTAAGAAGCTCATGGGCAAGGGTGTTAATTCTGAATCCCCTGAGTTTGAGTTGTAAATTAAAATGACTAAAGTATTACAGTTAAAGAGAAGGGGAAAAAAAAAGGTCAAACCTCGCCTGGTGCACTGCTTTAGAATGGCATAGAGCCCAGTTTTCCCACACTGTAAGCTGAGCTTTCACAGTTACAGAGAACAAAGTTGAAGTAAGGGCCTAGATTTCACTGACAAGGGCTTAGGGTTAAAGCAGGGCCTCTCTTGCCCATATTTACCTCACCTTTCTCCAACAATGTGTATTAGAGAAGGTAAAATGAAGTAAACCAAGAACTACAGGTAGGTAAAGTAGTAAAAGTAATGGGAGTAAAAATTAAACCCTATTTGAAGTTCCAATGTAGAGTGGTCAGGGAAGCAGAAGAACACGAATGGAAAAAGAATATGAAACCACAAGGAGAGTTCAGCTTGTAAGAAGAATATCCCAGACTGACTGATGCAACACAAATGGAATTGGAATAAAGGGTTCAGAGATAAAACAGGTTACCTAGGGGAAAGGGGGGAGGTATGTATCCTGTGTGGTCTTATCCAAAAGAGCAGGACTAGAAAGGTGACTCGGCTATGGACACATGTCTTACCCAAACCAAAGTGGAACCAGAAGCGGTGGTGCACATCTATAATTCCAGCGCTTAGAAGGCTAAGGTAGGAGGATTCTGAGTTAGAGGCCAGCCTAGGCAACATAGCAAGTTCAAGGACTATACAGCATAGTAAGACCCTATTTCAAAAAAATTTTTTAAAAATTATAAGTGAAGTTGGAAGGCTACTGGCTACAGGGGAGTCACAAGTGCCTTTCCAGGGAGCAAGGATACAAACAGGAAAGAAGGTCTGTAACAGACAAATCCAAGCCAGTGCTTGGTTTCAGATGAGTGAAGTCATAGGGTTAGAGGCTCTTGTTCCCTTAGCGATTCTCCTCTTCACAGACCTTAGGTGGAAGTGCCAGAGGAAGCAAAACAGATCATAAACATGAGGTCTGCTTCCCATTGGCCTTCAATGTGCCAAAGGAAACAACATTCTTCTCCTTCCTGGGGAGGAGGTAATTTTAGGAATAGACTCCGTAAAGATGCAGGAAACAGCCTCCCTTCCAGGGAAGGTAACCCAAAATACGTATATGTAAGATAGCACTATTTATAAATCTAATTAAATGAAGACACTAATAGTTCTTGTTAGTGCCCAATTCCAAGCTAACCTGCTCTCTGAAGCTAGACATGGCTCTAACCATGTGTATGAAGGGCTCTCCTGTTTACCACCAAGAGAAATTATTTTAGGCTCTGGGTTTCAGAGTGGAGGTCTGACAGTGACTAGTCAACAAAACAATCACTCAGCAGACAGAGCACTAAATGTGCCTGAGGAGCAGGGTCCTGTGCCTTAGGTCACTCTGGGTGCTGGGATGGAAACTCCTTGGGACTGGGAAGCACCCACACAAGAAGGCAAGTGCAAGGGGACAGAAAGGCTCATTCCAATTGTGGCAAGGGTGGAGAGCTTCTCACCAGGGGGGAAGCGCCGTAGGGACCGCCTGACATCCAGCAGCACTTGTTGGTAGTCCTTGCTCACCTGCCGTAGGTCCTTTCCTATTGGAGGAAGAGGAACATGTTTTGGCAAGAATGTCTGCAAGCCCATGTAGAAGCAAAACATTCTAGGATATTGAAGGCCTGGGGGACACATACTAGTTTATTCTTGAAGAGGCTATCACTCAAGATACAATTGGGAAGGAATCCCTATTTTAGTTCAAAACACATGCTATTCCATGCAAGTCATGGAGATAGTCAGAAGAGGGACACAGGCTGTCCAGGTGGCAGTACAGTGGGTAGAGATCAACAGAGAGGAAAGGAGGCCTGGGCCTGTGGGGGCTGCCCTGTGTATCACTAGGGACCTGCCCACATCTGTAAGTGAGGATATTCCCTTCCCTATGTACTTCTCAGGTTCCATGATGACTGCATAAAATCATGGCCCTGGTAACCAAAGACCCTTGGTACAACTCTAACTTCTGTAACACTGTGTGAGCCCTGAGCTGTTCAACAGGAATAAAGTGAGATAAAGAAAAATCTAGCCAGGCATTGTGGCACACTCCTGTAATCCTAGTACTGAAGCAGGAGGATCACAAGTTTGAGTCTCACCTTGGCAACTTAGCGAAACCCTGTGACTTAGTCATTTTTCTTGCTGCTGAGACAAAATACTCAACACCCAAAGTTAAAGGAGGAAAAGTTTATTTTAGCTCTCAGTTTGTAGAGGTTTCAGTCCATAATCAGCTAGCTTCAAGGCAGGGTGGTATGGCACACAGGCATCACAGAAGACAGATAGTTCATGGCGGGCAGAAGGCAGCAAAGCAAGCAAGGGACGACCATAGCTCCTTCTATCCCTTATATCTTACCCACGCTACTTAGGGCAGGTAGCACTCACACCTTTAATCCTAGTGCCCTTGATCCTAGTGCTGCACCATGAATCAATTCTAGCACCACACACTCTAGATCCAGTCACCTCTGAAAAAGCCCCACCTATGACTGCACGAGGCTTTCGGGGGACATCTAGACACAAGCCATAACACCTTGCCTGAAAAAAAGAGAAGGAAAAAAAAGAGCTGGGATGTAGCTCAGTGGCAGAGCACCCTTGTTTTTCAATCCCGAGTACCACACGCACACACACACGCACACACGCATGCACACACACACACACACACACACACACACAAATTTTAATACCTCTTGGTCCTGAAATTGTAAAATTAAAATGCCACCGATAGGAGACAGAGCTTGTGGTCAGGGCATAAGCCCAATACAATGTAAAAGTAAGGAGGCTGTCTTTCGCTATGTGCAGGTGTACACTTCGCTCAACCCAAATCAAGGACTATGAAAGAAGTGTCCATTTCCCTCACAACCCCAGTTGACAGCTCTGAAAGAAGCCTGTACAATTCTTCCTTACACACAGATTTCATCTTATCAGGAGACCTGGGAAGTGTGGGATCTGAGAGAAGAATGTCATCTCAAAGCCTGGCTTTACATATGTTACTTATTAGGACTAAAATGTATTTAACAGATGTTGGGAAAAGGGAAGAAAATGTTCAGATGGGAAGGGGACCAGGGGAGGAGGGAGAGAGAAAGGAAGTGATAAGAAAAAAAAAAGAAAATGGAAAGAAAAAATGGGAAACAATGCTTTTGTACACAGGAAGAAGAGGGGATTTGGGGGGAGGGGAGGAATGGAAAAAAAGAGGCAGGATGAACCATGTACAGGTACAAATTCCCTACGATGAGTGTTATCACTTATGTATCCCTAAAATGTACCAATAAATGTTTTGCTGTATTAAAAAAATCTACTTATCAGTTATCAGGCCTTATTTTCAGAGTGAGCTCTAGCATTTTAATGTTCATCTATTTTTGGTTCAAAATGAGCACAAAATCAAGCATCCTAGAATCCCTTTCTCCCTGACTCCTAGACAAGCTCCCCTCTGGGGCCCCATGCCCAGTACCTGGTGCAGGTGATGGATCACTGGTGTTGACATTGAGGAGCTTGGGCCACACTTTTTGTCTGATCTCATCGGTCAGGAGTCCTCCTTCACTGATAGCCATGCGTCTAAGGGCAGCCACATCAGTGGGATCACTGTTCAGAGCCTGGTAGATCTCTGCCACTTTCTTTTTCCTTTTGGTGTTGAAGTCTGCAAAAAAACATAGTGTGCAGGGAGCATCAGGCACACATTCAGCACGTGTAATTTTTTGCTTAGGGCTTCATCTCCTTATTTGGTTTGAAGTAAGGTAGGTAACTTCTCTTACACATATAGCTTCTAGATCATCTGCTGGGAGAGGCAGGATTAATTGGCCCAGTGTGCTGACTCTCACAGACAAGTTGCCTACTTTTAAAAAGATGATGTTTTTCTATAGGTTTGGACCAACAATAATATGCAGAGATTATACTTTTAAAGAAAAAAAGAGGCAGTTAAAAAAAAGATATGTTAACATCAGATAGGTGGTAGTTCAGACCCTGGCCCTGCAACTTATTAATTCTATAACTTTGGGCAGAACACATCACCTTTTGGTCCTCTGGACTGACACTTTCCTGTCAAGACAGTCACTACGGTACACAGTTCATATTGACCAAACAGAAGTTCCCCTCATTCTGAAATAGCAAATTTTTAAAAATCAACCTACAGATATTTAACTGGCATATATTATGTAAAACACTATGGAGATATATGTGCACCCATGTTCATAGCAGCACAGTTTGTAATAGCTAAAGCTTGGAAGCAGCCCAAGTGCCCATCAACTGGAAATTGGATAAAGAAAATGTGGGTTTTTTAATAAAATGGAGTACTACTCAGCCATAAAGAACGAAAAACTAGAGTCATTTATAGCTATATGGATGCATATCGAGGCCATACTCTTAAGTGAAATAAATAGGACACACGTGTAAATACTGAATAGTTTCTCTAGTGTGAGGAACTGACAGTGTAAACGAGGGTTAAAATGATTAAAATGAATAACTGATAATTTGAAATAGGAAAAAAGGTCCAAAGACAAAGGAGTGAAGGGAGAGGAAGGGGAAAGGAAAAGAGGGAAAGGAAAAACTAAGAAAAGAAAAACAAAAGGAAATGATGTCTATGTAAATACAGAAGGGTGGAGGGGGTGAAGGACACACAGGTAATGGGGAAAAAATGAGAACCAAGATATATCATGTACAGGTACAAACACCCAATGATAAATGTAAATGAATTGTATACCTAAAATGTACCAATAAAAGAACAAAAAAAAAGAAAAGAAAAAAAACACTATGGAGATACACTGTGCAAGTAATAAGCAAGGAATTAAAATTACAATAAATGTTCAGTAAATCTAGGCATATCTAGCAGTTAATGCCAATGTTTTCCTGTTCTTTCTTTCTTTTTTTTTTTGGTACTGGGGATCAAACTCCGAGACCCTGTGCTTGTGAGGCAGGCGGTGGAACCACTGAGATAAATCCCTGGGCCTTCCTGTTCTTTCTTAATATCCAAACTTCACAGAGTTTATAAATCTCAATCTAAGAACTTTTCCTTGTTTATATAGGAAAAATACAATTCAAAATTCAGAACTAAGGCTGGGGATGTAGTTCAGTGATAAAGTGCTTGCTGAGGTACTGAGTTTGATTACCAGAACTATGAAACAAAACAAACAAAAACGATACTACATTTTAGTGTATGTGCTGCGGAGGTGAACACAATACATTTTAAACAAAACCACAGGGAAACATCTCCAGCTAAAGGCCACATCAGAATCGCATGTAAGTATTTTCAAAAGCAGTGTGTCAAAGGCTGCTTGAGTTTCCAGTATGGCTGGTAGAGAGGCAATGATACTGCACACAAAGGAGGTGTTTCTCAACAACCATATTAATCACCAATGATTAGGAAGTAATGTTTTAAGCATCTTGCATTCTTATGTTATTTACAGATATTTTACTGAGTTTAAATTACTTTTTAAGGAAATGTGGTTGATATCATATAATTCTTCTATTTAAAATAATGGGCTCTGGCACATGGCTGTAATCGCAGCTACCTGGGATGCTAAAGATGATCATGAGTTTGGGGTGAGTCTGGGTAGTTTAGTGAGACCCTGTCTCAAAAAGGGGGGGCCTTGGGTTTTAGCTTAGTGCTAGCCTAGCATTCATAGGGCCCTGGGTTCAATTCCCAGTAAATGAAATGAAGTGAAATAAAATAAAATAAAATAAAAATAAAATAAGGGCCCACAGGTTTTCAGAGTTTTATATACAATGTCTACTTTTAGCAATGGCTTGCTAAAGTTAAATGAATGATGCCTGTATTCAGCCTTTCTGTTGCCTTTACCATAGAGAAGATAAACCAAAAACAGAAGAAAAGTTAAACAAGACAACATGAAATATCACAAGACAGTGTATTATGATTGTCATATAAAGGTATGTGGTGACAATAAAGGTGAAGAGCTCAAAGAGACTGGCAGGTCAGACACCTTAAAAGTACACCTTACTAAAAAAAAAAAGTACATCTTAAAAAGGGCAGAACTCACCGGGATACAGAACAGAAGGCTTGGAAGCAGGGAGCAGGCCCTTTATTTTGACAGCAAACAAACTCTAGACACAGGACTTCTCTAGACACAGCAGCTTCTCCCAACAGTGTCCTATTCTGACACAACAGCAGCTTACAAACTATTTCTATGACAAAGCTGCACACTATTAACACAAATGAGAGCTGGCACTAAAGGCCCTAGTGGCCTACCTATGAGAACTGTGACATATAAACCATAAAACTGAGGTCTGGAGTCACACACAGCTGCAGGTCAGACAGGAAAAGAATGTCACTTTCTGCCCAAGTAAACCTGTTCTGCTGGCTAAACTGTTGATGGCTTCTCTGTAACCTAGGACGGTGACCATTTGTCTGAAATCTTCCTGGTTTATACCTATAGTCCTGATATAACTACTATATTCCCTGCATGCTCAAAAATAGGTCAGTTTGGAAGCTAAATTAAATGACTACTCTAGAAATCATGAAAAACCAAGCCCCTAATTCCCTGTCAGCAGAGCACGTAACTAGTTGTTTATGAAGTGCATAAAGCTCTTGGCTCAGGACATCCTTCCATCCACTTATCTACCCACCTCCCCATCTGTCCACCCACCCAACAGACCATCAGTTAATGAATGCCTACCTATATTGAGCACTGTACTGGGATAAAAAGATGGGTATGGCTTCCTCACAGCTCTTGAGAAGCTCACAGCAGAGAGGGACACAACTGTTTCAGTGCATGCAACAGAATCTTGAAACATCATGGAAATCCACAGGAAAGAATGAATGCCCACTTTCAACACAATGAGGAAAGGCTTAGTCAAGAAGATAACTGGTACCTTCTTGGAAACTCTGCCACATGGCAGAGTAGGTCAAAGGGAAAACATTCCTGGCAGAGGAAGGAGCATGTGCAAGGCCCCTGTCATGTTAATAATAGCACCATGTCCACCCAGGAAACAGAACACAAGTTCTGTGGGGTGGTAGTGTCAAGTGCAGGGAAGACAACAGAAGCATTAGACTGCAGCAAGTGAGGCTAGTAAAAGTCCAGGCAGATTCACTGTGCCAAAGAGTCTGGGTTTCTTTTTTTGGGGGGGGGTGTCTCAATGGGTGGCCCAGGGTGGCCTCAAACTGATGATCCTCTCACCTCAGCTTTCCAAGTGTTGGGATCATAGGCATGCCCCACCAGGCTCACCAGGAGTCTGGGTTTCATCCTGCAAGGCCATCATCTTTTGGAAGACCAGGCTGAATGTTTTCAGGGAGGGTCCACAAACACCCAGGAAGATGACAAGACTTTTTTTTGTCTTCCTGGAGCTAGGGATGGAAGCCAGGCTTGGCACATGCTAGGCAAGCACCCTACTACTGAACTGCACCCCCTGCCCGACACACCTTTTTATATGACAAATATATGAGACAGAATATGGGCAGGAATTCAATTAATTTCCAACAAAAAGGAAAAATCTAACATAATTACATTTTTTTAAACTTGAGTTTTCTTGCACTTCCCACACCACAAATTAACAGCACTTAAGTTGGGCATGGTAGCTCATGCCTATAATCCCAGCACTTGGGAGGCTGAGGTAGGAGAATCATTGCGAGTTCGAGGCCAGCCTGCACTACATAGCAAGACTCTCAAACAAACAAACAAACAAATGATAACAACAACAACAAAAAAGACAACAGTGCTGAACTGGTAACACTGAATACTGCTTTAGGAACACTGACATTGAGAAATTTTGTTGACCCAAATGTTCAGAGTATGGGAAATTTTCCTCAATTTGTTTAGATTTATTCCATCCTCTTTCCAAGTACCTATTCAGCAAACTGAAGGAGAGGAGGAAGGTGTTGCTTGTATCTTGGGGAGAAGAACACTGCCTGCAATCAGTTAGACTTGATGTGGTTTTGGGCAAATAATCTGGTAGAATGTTAACCAACTCTGAACCCAAACTACAGCTCCAATTCTTTTTTCAAGACTGGTCCGATTCTATTTCCCATCCTGTATTTTTCTTTTTCTTCTTCTTCTTCTTTTTTTTTTTTCCAAGACAAGGATTCAAGACTGGGATTACAGGTCTGAGCCACCAGTGAATCCTATATTTTAAGACTTACTTATTTTTGGAACTCAATAAATATATATAGAATAGAATAAAATTTTAGCTTAGTTACTATTTCACTGGAAAATATTGACCTGTAGGAAATGACATCACTTTTCCCATACTACTGCTAAGATTATGCTCATTACAGAATTCCAAGTAGATCTGTAGACTCTGGCCTGTTTCTAAAGCTCTTGGTGCTTTCCAGGGTAGAACACAGCTCACCTGTGGATTCTGGCTGCTGTATGTTCAGATCCTGACACTGCCTTCCTTACCTTACATTCCAGAGACCAGATGTTAGTGGCAGAGGAAGAAGACACTCCTGTATGTGCCACCTCCACAAAAACTTTGTATTGCACCTAATGCCTAGGCTCTCATTGTAATACAGAAAGGTAAGAGAAAACAGAAAACTTGAGAGCTAGAGATGCACAAACTGCAGTGTGAGAAGGTCAACAGCTACAAAATGAGGAAAGGTAAGCAAGGCCTCTACTGAATGACTAATTGACTCATGTCCCATTTATCTCAGAGAAATTTCACAGAGCTACTCTTGGGATGTTCAGGAAAAAG